CTGAAGTTTTAGCGCGGAGTTAAAATTTGGGCGGCGCCTGCCCACTTTTCACCCGCCGCCCAAAATACGCTCGGTGCCTGGGCGGTCGCCGCCCGGGCACCGAACTAATCGCTGGGCGATGCCTAATTCCAGCAGCGACCGAGCAGGCTACTGATCGGTCGGTCGCTGCTCTAATTTGTGACCATAGCTTTATAGACAATTTTCTCTCTTGAAAGTCAATAACCCTTTCATTTCATTTTAGAAATAACCTCTTTTTTCTCCTAAAGACAATTTCTCTCTTGAAAAGGCTCTGCCATGTTGTATGGATCCATTAGAAAGCAAAATAAGCCCACTCAATAATTGATATAAATTATATTAAAACGTCATAGCCAGGGCTCAAATTAATTTTTTGTCCACGGGGGCTCTTCCCCCCCCCCCAAAAAGAGCCCCCGTGAGCCTTCTCACGGGGGCTCTTTTAGTACTGACGGGGGCTCTTTTTTATACAAATATCCATTGAATTGGTACCTATGATACTCCTCAATTATTTGCTATTTCATCATTATCATTCCAATCAGCATTTTCCCTCTTACAAATTTACAAGCTACATAGCTGTTACTGGCCTGTGTATATAATATATACGCATACAACACTGATCTTTATGATGTCTTTAACGTGACATATCTTCTTCTCCCCTTGCAAACGAGAAAGAAAACAAGGTCATTAAAGGGATTAAGCGACAAATAATGATTGTGATTCAAATTGATGCGAATATTTGTTTGAATAAGCACTGCTATTCACCCGAATCTTCTTTGTAAAAACAACTTTTACAAATCTCAGTCATGCTTACTGAGTTGAGACGTTCCATTCAATGTAAAATACTCATTAAAGAATACACTTCTCCTAATCTGAAAGTGATCTTACAACACAGTGGCAGATTTGCATGGCTGAGATTTGTAAAAGTCGTTTTTACAAAGAAGATTCTGGTGAAAAGCATTGCTTATTCAAAAAAAATCCTTGCATCAATTTGAATCACAATGATTATTTGTCGCATGATCCTTTTATTAAATAACCTTGTTTTCTTTTTTGTTTGCAGGGGGAAAAGAAGCTATGTCACGTTAAGAAATCATAAAGATCAGTTGTATTATGCGTATATACATTATGATACCAGAACAAATGTTGATTATCAGAATGTCATTTTGGAATACCTCTAAACAAATACCACATTGTCTTTAGCCCGTATCAGTATTAGTATCATGCAATATAAAGCTATTATTCTTTATTTAATTCAGTATAATGCTTTTCCTCAAAAATAGTTTTGCCATTTTGTTAGGGTTGAGACGCTAAGAAATGGTTTCAAATGTACATTACACGAACCCTGAACCATTGCAAAATGATGGTGGTTCTCTCTCTCTCTCTTTACTTTAATCATGCATTATCAACTACATATAAAGCAGCAACCAAAAACTTAGGGTTATCTGAGATAGGTGAAAGTAAGAGTTAAAAAGAAAGTCATGCTAAAACGGCGCTTCACCCCCCCCCCCCCCCCCATGAAACAAATAAAATAGATTAGTAGTCCTCCTCTCCAGCACCCCCCCCCCCCCCCCGCTTTAATATCACATTTTCACTTGGCAGCCCAAGGGGGCCGGGGGTGGGAGGAGGGGTTAAACCCCTAACCCCCCCCCCCCCGTAGATCTGCCCATGTTACCATATCATTCCACGACATCTTGGTCTTCCTCTTCTTCTCAATAGGGACTTTTAGATTTGCGTGGACGTGGACGTGTTACGTCCTTTTAAGGCACTGGCAGTCACATGTCACGTCCTTTTAAGCACTGGCACTGCCTTAAAAGGAGGTCACACGTTTCAGTCCACGTTCCCATCGTGCAAATCTAAAGGTCCCTAATATTGATTTACTGGTCGAGGTTCATTATTTGCTAGTCATTTGAAATCACCAGATTTCAGCGGGTTAACGCTTTCACAACGAAAAACTTCTCCATGACCATGTTTCTGCCCTTGCGCGATCGCCTCCAGCTCCAGCAGACATAGCGCGGCAGCGTGCACACGTACCGCTACTAAGGGCGCAGTAGGCCTATAACCACTGCTGACGGCGGCACTGCACTGTGAGCTGAATCGGTAATAATAGGCCTACTCATAAAACAAGAAATCTTGCACGCTAATCTAAGTTCCATTTCATTTGAAAATTGAAACTCAATATCGTGTTAAAGTTATACCAGAAAAGAAAATCTTTATATTATAATTCCACGGGGGCGATTTTTAATTTTGCAATCGCCCCCGTGAGCAACCTGACGGGGGCGATTATGTAGCTCACGGGGGCGAATCGCCCACCGCCCCCGTGTATTTTGAGCGCTGGTCATAGCGATTCATCCAAATAAGAAATCCAAGTAAGAGGCATTTTGAAAGTTTTAAGAAAATTCTTTCAAATTCCAGGATATTGGGTGTTCTTTTTCAGGAAACTCTATTTAAACGAGTGGAAGCACTGGCGGTTCTGTTTTTTTAAACTGTAGCAATTCTCCTTGGATCAGATATAGACCAAAAACAAGCCTCATTATCTTCAGTATACAAGTGTCATTTCGGACCTTACAGCTTTCATAGAAATCGCTTCTGGACCGTCAAAGAAAAAGTTTGAGAACCCCTAGTCTACCCATTATACACATCAGGACCAACTTGACAAAAATTTGAGGGGGGTTCGACCCCCCTCCCCCCTCCCCCCTCCACCCCTGCGTATACGCGCCTGCATGTGCATCCCTTCCTCCTTATTCCCTTATCCATCGTTACAGTCACTACCATTTGAGTAGGGCCGGCCCCCTCCTTAATAACGACTCCAAAGCCATCAAGAATGACCCCATAATTTATAGATTACCATTCTGCCGTTCTTTGGAGGGGCCGGGCGCGGCCTTTTCAGAAGTGTTTCTACACTAACCTTTTCATGCACTCCGGCTTAACATAAACAAGCATGCTAAGATTGTTTTGAAAAGAAGCATAATTTCGACTCAGTTTCGCATAACCTAAAAATAAGAATACGGCCAGTCACCCCTTCCCCCCCCCCCTCTCCTCAATGCATCCGCCTTCACGCACCCCCTTCCCTTTGTCTTTCCCTTATTCGTCGTTACTGCCATTGTCACTAATTTTTAGTGCCATTTCGTTGTCTTTCTTTCTCCCCGGCTCCTCTCTTCTTTTTCTTTCCTCTTTTTTGAACTCTCTCTTTCTTTTCTTTACTTTTTTGTTCTCTTTTCTTTTATCTTCTCCTTTTCCCCCCTTTTTTTCCTTCTTTTTTTCTTTCTCTTTTTTCCTTCTCAATTTTTTTTGCTTCGCCAATAGGGGGGCCGCGGCCGTTTCGGCCACCCCTGGATCCGCCACTGAAAAGCCTAAGTTTCCGTGCTCCGCGCGGGAAGGGGGGGGGGGGGGCTGAATTCAGTCAAGTAATAAGAGTCGAGAATGGTACAACAAGTCTTCTTCTTTCTCTAATAATTAATGAAAGGCCAAAGCTTTGAAAAGCCAAAGCTTCCGCGCTTCGCGCGGGCGGGAGGAAACTGAATTCAGACAAGGATTAAGAGTCGAGAATGGTACAACAAATCGTCTTCCTTCTCTAGTAACAATTAATGAAGGGTCAAAGCTTCCGCGCTTCACGCGTAATGGGGGGGGGGGGACAGCGAGCTGCCCGAATATGAGTTTTTGATATCTTTTCTCGTTTATTTTGGTGATAAATAACACTTTCACAAATTATTGTTGCTCGCTCGTTTCGCTCACTATTTCGAATTGTGAAACCAGAAAATTACTTTCCGGGCAAGAGGCTATAGCCCCCCCCCCCCCCCCCGACGAAAATGTCAAAAATTCTACCGGTATCGTGCTTCTAATATGACCTTGTCAGTATTGGTATGTTGAGTTGAAAAAATGGTCTGCGCAATTTTCAAATTTCCGGCCCCCCCTATTTGAAAATCCTGGATCCGCGCCTGCTTTAGGGCTATAGTCTAGAGCCCAAAAGTAATATTCTTGATTTTCAGACAATTGTACCGAATGGTCATACGTTTTATGCTGCCTAAAGATTCAATCAGTTTAATCTTGGCCATCACAAGAAGTGGGTTATTGATGTAGACAAATGCTCATGTACCCTTTACAACTATTTTCATCTATGTTATTACCAAAGAAGAAAAAAAGCCAGTCAGTCACTCAATAGTGTCTGACAGTGAAGTCTAGCAAGTAAATGGGTTTCCTTGCATAATTTGATTTTGAGGACACTGCTAACGTTTAAATTTCACAGATAGGACATACATGACATATTCATAATTCCTGCAAAGTTCTACAGAATTTGAGGTTGGTCGCAAAAGGGACATAGTACCTTTCTCATGATCTTGATTTGGACATTTAATGAATATTTACTTCATTTTGGGTATGTTTTAGTAGGGTATCTCCATGCCAGATTTACGGGTCAAATTTTGGATAGGCTTCTGAACAAGCGCCTTTACTTTCAGGTTTTACATTCAATTTTCCAATTCATTAACACCAGCTCCTAGGCCTAGGGGCTGGTGTTGGTGAATGGGAAAATTGGAAAATTCGTGATTTCAAGTTAGGTGTTGGACTGTTTGTGTTGGTGTTGCAGCTTACCACAGCTAACTTTGCAGGCATCTGTCACATCTGTTTTTATTTTAGTGAACTAAGCTATGGTGGCGCTATGGTGAGTTTGTACAGTGCCACGCCAGTACTGTAGTGTACACAATATTGAAAATCGATACAATACTAGAGGGTTACTTGATTTTTTTTTTCCTAAACACAAAATATACTAATTCTGCTCAATTCTATATATGAGCGTTATTTTATTTGTTTTGCGTTACCACATGCACATTGTTTTTGATGCTTGAAAACCTACTTTTTTTTTTTAAATTAAGGTTAAAAATCCCTAAATTGACAACATGTTAGCTGGGTTAATCAGATTTCTTCAAAATTTTCCTGACCATTGTTATTGGTTATTTTAGAATTTGTTTACATCTGTATCTTTAGTTGGTTTCCAAAAGCATTTTTTTTCCCATCACAAGTTTTATTAGTTTCCTTGGTCCGAAATCTGTCAGGAAGGGCAAATTGTGAGAAGAAGACACCTGTGTTTTCCGTAAAGTCAATTTGATGTTTCAAATGCCACTTTTCCTAAATTCATGGACTAGCTGGGCACAAGAGGGGGACTTTGCCGCCTTTCAATATGCTAAGTTGATAAAGGATGTTCACATTTTCAGCATCAAAACCATTTCTATAACCCCTATTGCTACAGACTTGTGACTGGAAGACAATTGAAAGCCAACAAAGATTGTTTAATCCAGGTATATATTTCACACATGTACCTTATACAGTAACAGACTTTTCCCACCCCTGTGATCTCTCTCCCTCAGCACAATCAACATCAGTGCACCCTAACCTGTCTATTTGACCCATTTCAAGGGTGTTGGACAGTAATCAGGATTGTGGAATGATCTGAAATTTTAAAAATGGCATGATTGTTCATATAGTCCCAACTATTCCCCACTTGTTTATGCTGTTTACCATCCAAGGTAAATGTTTTGATTTCGAGTTTAAATAGAAGCTTCCTGTTTTTTTAATAAATAACTTGTCTTTGTACACGTATGCAACTGTGTTCTGTTTCACCTTGTCTAATTTGTGAGAGGTTAGTGTAGGTGCACTTTTAGATTACCATCATTTACACTTGTATCAAAATAAATTTGTAGTTTAATGCTACCATCCATCTCTATTTGAGTTCTTTCAGCCAGTGTGACCGTAGCTAGGGAGTCCGGGATTCAAGGAACAAAAACAAAAGTGTTAACTCTAATGGTAGGCCTATGTATAATTTTAGAGTGTATTTTGTAATTAATTTTGTAATATTTAAATCATTATCTTTCCTTCTATCTTTTTGTTTTCCTTCTGTATAAGGAATTTGAAGCAATAATGGGTCACAAAGGAAAGCGGTATTCCTCATCCTCTTCTGAGATGACTAGTAGTGACTCTTCCAGAGAAAACTCACTTTCCAGAGATCATGGAAGAAACAGGCAAGCAGAGAAAAGGAAAGCAAGTCACTCAAGAGAAAGAAGTAAACTCAAGGAAAAGAAAAGAAAGAGACACAGATCAAGCAGTTCTAGTAGGTCTTCATCTTCGTCGTCTTCTTCTTCTTCATTGCGTCAAAGAGATAATGGAGCTAAAAAGAGCCTGATGAAGAAGATCAAGAAAAAGAAGTACTCATCATCAGAGAGCAGCAGTAGCAGTAGCTCTTCAGATTCAGGGAGCAGTGACTCTGATAGTTCATCAAGTGATTCAAGTCTTGGTAAATATTTAAGGATTTTTTTTTCTTTTTTCTGTGCTGGTGAATATTTCATCTAATAGTTTTCTGAGATTATGCAGTTGATTTTTTTCTAGGATGTTTCCATACAAAAGAAGCATTATATATGTGGAGATGGAGTGTGCTCTTGATGTACATACTAATTCAGATCCTTGAAGTTCATGAATAATTGAGTTTCATCGATACTTAAATTGTTGCATTTCCTTCAGTAATCTTGTACGAGGCTGTTACATGCAATATGTACAGTAAAATACACATGATTGTATTAAAAAAAACTCCTATCAAATGATGGCTGTCATCATTTGATCCCTTTTTTTCCAGAACGACAGAAGAAGAGAAAGAAGCAGAAAGAGAACAAAAAAGGAAAGGTTAGTGTTCAAGTAGATGTTGTTGATAGTACTTAAGAGAAGCTACATTTTAAAAAATGGTACACTTTGCAGATTGTATCAAATCAATCCTTTAATATAAAGCCTCATATGCCATGCTTCAAAGATTGTACTTCAAATGATCACAAAAAGAATAACCAAGAAAACAGAAACTTTCTTGGGCTATGATCAGTGTGGGTTTCTGGCTGGACTAGTCACTCAGGAGGCTATTGCTGTTATGAGAACCCTTTGGGAACAAAGTCTAGAAGTAGAGAAAGAAGTAAATGTATGCTCTGTGGCCTGTGAGAAAGCTTTTGACAGTGTGAACTAGGTTTAAGCTACTGGATGTGTTGAGATCTTGACTGGAAGGAAAGAAGCCTCAGTTTCAGTTTCAGTTTCAGTTTCATTTATTTCTCAAGAGATCAACAGATAAAAATACATATATAAACAGATAAATGCAAGACAATACATACGATAAATTATAAAAAGTGAGGAAGGCAGTGGCCAAAAAGGAAACAAACCTTGTAAGAGGCCAACCCTTTAAGAAGACAAGATGTACAATACTGTACGTAACATTAAAAAGACATCAAAAAGGAATACAAGATAAGATAAGAAATAAATTACCTAACCTAATAAACAACTAAAGGCCCTTTTACACTTTCACGGATCACATCACGGATCATCCCGGATCGTCGCTCCGGGATCATCCATGTTATCTCCGGCATTACCGTGTATACACCGGGAAGGCATCCGGCGTGATACTTGGCGTACCGGCATAACCGGGGAAAAAATTAAGCTTGCTTAATTTTTCATCCCGGAGTTCACGGATGAAAAACAATCCGTCCTCTTCCCTGTAGGCACCGTGTACCTCCGTGTAGCCGCCGAATACATCCGGGACAGTCTGTGTAGACACCAGGAGGTCCTTATTAACACCGGTTTTATCCGGGTTTGAAATTCCGTATATTTTGCCTAAATACAGTATACGAATGAATAGCCCGTGTGCATATTGCCATGTGACGAATACAGATGTACGTATCATTTTGAAGACAACATACGTGCCAAGATGCCTTCGACAAGAAGCGGAAAAAGTCGAAGGGCACTAGCCAAAAAGGATCCACCTCCGAACCCATCTCCACCTGCAAGTGAATCCGATGAAGGCAACGAGTCAACCAGGGTAACAACGCCTCAACCATCGGAGCCCACACTCGAAAAAGCAATCAAAAGGCAGCCTTCAAATCAGCCATGTCCGAAGCGTAAGAAGACACCAGCCCTACACCTTTCTGAGGAGCAGGAACAAGATGTTGCGGACTGGTATAGGTCCCATGAGCTGCTGTACAATAGAAGGATGAAGGAATATAAGCAGGCTAACATGAAGACGAGGCTGTATGAGGAGAAGGCTGCTAGTCTGGATCCCCCGTGTACAGCAAAGCAGCTGAAAGTATGGATTGATTCGATGCGCACAAGCGTTGGCAAGCTGACCAAAAAGAAGTCAGGACAAGAAGCCAAAGAATACACCGACAGAGAGAGATGGATTCTTGAGAATTTCGGATACCTCACGGATCACATCAAACGTGTTGGCTCTGAAAAAAGGAAGCAAGGAGGCCAGGTATGTTTAGGCATACGACATCTAAATCTTCTAATTACTGCAATTGTTTAATGCATTACAAAGAAGACAAGAAACAAGTCAAAAAAAAATTCTAGTATTAATATTTATTTTCAAAACGTTTCCTTCCGTTGTTACCAAACTCATTAATTTGTTAGAATCTGCCTTGAAAATAATTCATAAATTATCTTTTCTATTTATTTCTTTTTCACATTTGACGAAGTTGAAATGATTTACAGCCTGGTCAATTTAGTTTCCGTCACTTCTTTTGGTGAGGTCAATTTGCTGAAACAGAACACACCTTGTTGAAAGGCCAAACCGGAGATCATTCCCAAAAGGGATTTTTTCATACTTGAATAACAAAATGTATTCAACGTAGACTAACAACTTTGATGAATGCATTCTGCAAATAAAGAATGCATTTTAAACATTGTTTTTACATAATGTATTGTTTAATTTTCCATACAAATATGGACATAATGATCTTTGTTATTCTAATTGTAACGTTGCCTTTGATTTGTTAATATTATTTCTGGGTTGTCCTGATCCACAAGATTGCCTTCAATGGTGGGGTTCTTGATCCGTAGGAAGTTTTGCAACACACAACAGGCCAGTGTGATTGGTGCTGACTCTCTCTGGGCTTTGAGGCATTGTGATGAGAAGGCACCTGAACCTTGACGCTAGTAGTCCAAAGGTATTCTCGACAACCCTTCGGGCGCGCGAAAGTCTGTAATTGAACACTCTGTCTCCAACTGACATGTTTCTCTACGGCAGAGGTTTCATCATCCATGTCTTTAAGGCAAAGGCGTCATCGCCAACGATGAAATACGGCATGGGTCGGTCATCGTGCGGCAGAGGATCAGGATCTGGGAGTCCAATCATTCCAGCTTCGAGAGCTTCCTTCAAAATAGTCTCACTAAAAACTCCTGCATCTGAGCCTGCGCCGCTGACACCGATGTCAACGTAGAGAAACTTGTACTCTGCATCCACTAATGCCAGCAGAACGATCGAGTGAAATCCTTTATAAATAAAGTACACTGATCCTGCATTCCTGGGACATCTGATCGCCACATGTTTATCGTCAATTGCCCCAACGCAATGAGGGAAGTTCCATTTTGTTTTGAATCCTTCAGACACTCTTTTCCTGGCTTCCGCAGTGACGGGGCAGACCATTACTTCTGCTGAAAATTCATCTATGATAGCTTGACAAACTTCAGTGATAAAAATTGAGATGGTACTGTGAGATACCCTGAAGCCAAACTATAGAGACTTGTAGCTACTGCCTGTTGCCAAGTAACGCAGGGTTATAGCTAGTTTTAACCCTGGCTCAAGGGCCTTCCTGAAAAATGTATCCGTCTTCTCAATCTTTGGGCCAACTCTAGTAAGGATTTCATGGAATGTGTCAGGGTTCATCCTCATAAAGTTCTTGAAATTACCCACATCTTCTCCCATCAGTTCAGCCATCAACTTCTCATACTGTCCGTAAAGTGGTCGTCTGAGAAGCCACGGTTTCACACACTCACTCCGTTTCCTTGCAGTTTTCTGTTTTTTGTTTATGCCATGCTGTTGCTGCAAAACAAGAGCTTCTGCTACAAGGAGTTTTACCTTTATGGTGTCCACAAACAGGAGCATATGCTGTAGATTTTCAGGCGTGCTTGCCATACTTGACTCTGAAGACAGTCATGTTGTTGCCCGAGAAGGGAAATGATCAAATGAGCGCCTACAAGCTCAAGTCACCCATCAACATTCCGGAGATATCCCAATAGACAACGTACACCTCCGTGTAAGGACCGTAAAAGTACCCAGTAGCCTCCGTGCTCTTCCTTGAAATCCGTGTTGGCTCCGTATGCGTTTCCGGCGTGGTCCGCGTTGCTACCTTGTCTGTCCGTGGAGACATCGTACTTGCCCGTGTATACACCCAGTTCGGAACGTATCCACACCGGCATCGAGAAGAAATTGTGGTGTCGCACGCCGGAACACCCCGGATTAAGATCCGGGATGATCCGTGATGCGATCCGTGAAAGTGTAAAAGGGCCTTAACCAAAGAGCTTAATATTAAATCTAATATTTAGATAATAATTAAAGATATAAGATGTCTGAGAGAGAGAATTTTGTACTAGACTGCTTCAGTCATTCAAAAACTAATTATCTGCATTCAAAATTATGAGTCATTTTATGAATGCCAGGCATCCAAAGTCAATGCATCATGAATGCAGACAATCAAGAGCTCACTGGCAGTGCTTTTGTAGATAGAAGAGTTTGTAAAGTAAGTTGTCATAGATCATTCTTGTTACATGTTTATCTCATTTGTATACTTTTCAAATTGATATGATATAATTGCAATAATTATAATATCATCTGTTCAGAGCCAGAAGTGTGTTAACTCTGTGTCAAAGTATATGAGTTAAAAAGCCCCTTTCCCTCCAAATAGATGGTATGCACTTCGTTCTTGAAAATTTGTTTGTGCAAAGAATTACCAGGTAACTTCCATGTGGTTGCCCTTGTTTGTAGACTCTGTAACTTTTCTTTCACAGAAACATAAACAAATGAAGAAGAATAAGAAAAAGGAATCGTCCAAGAAGAGCAGAAGCCCTGTCAGGTTATCCACTGTGAGTATGTTATTATATTCAATATTTGAAGGTTGCCTGTGCATGAATGTGCCCCTCCTCTGTTCCATAGACGGAGGCTAAGTTACAGTGGAAACACTCCACCCCCTGAATTGAATGTTAAATGGAGGTTCCATGTGTAGGAAAGTCACCAAGTATGCATGTTAAGAAACCACTGTTCTATTTGAATGAGAGTAGGGGGAACTGCAGCGTAGTACTTTAGTGCACCTGCACATTCCAATCACCATCGGGAGGCGAGACCTGAAAGTTACAGCAATTCAGTTCATTTTCCCCTCCCAGGCATATATGATGCCAAATACTTGATAATAGAAGTGATAGTCATATCTGTCAGTACTATGTACCTGTTAGATATGATTTGAATCTGGTAAATTGCACATTTCTTTAAAGTTCATGCATAAAAACAAATAAGAACCCATGCCTGAGGTTGTTATTTAAAAAAAACATACATTTCTTGAGTAATATTCTCTTTGAATGAACTCTTCAATCACATAACAGAATTCCACAGATAATATTATTTGTAGAATACTTAACGAGATTTATAGAGTAATCAGCAATGCAATAATAAACATACTGTATATTATTTAAATATTTATTCATTGAAAGGATCTAACAATATTTTTTCTTTTGCACTTTCTTTTTGTTGGTACTCCCCTCCCATTCTTTGCATTTCAATCTGTTTTCCTTCACTCTCTTCACTATCTTTCCTATTACTATCTCACACTACGCTTTATAGCTTTCTTTTCTTTTGTACCCTCTTTCATTCTGTCGCTCCCTTTCTCTTTCTCTTTTTTGGAGTCGTATTTGTCACTCTGCTCATGTTTGGTCTGCCTACGTGTGATGACGGTGATGACTGCAGTACTTGAACGATGAAAAAGACGTAGGTAGGAGCGTGGTGTCTGGTCAGAAGATTAAAATGAAAGTCAGAAAGACTAGCCAGGATAAAGCGGTAAGTAAAAGGGTGCCCTAGCCTCTAGCTTTCAACATGGATCATTTTGTTTGCTATAGGGCAAGACTCATCTGATGAAAATACATGTTGTGAGATATCACAGCATGAGCTTTTCTCACATAAGTTATTATGCTGCCCAGAACCATTTGAATTAGTTTTGTCTCATTTAAAATTTACCCTTAACCCTATCAACCTGGGCTATTTTTAAGCTGCATAGCCTGGAAGGCCCCTCCCCCCCCCCCCCCCCCCTCCCCTATGATCTCGGCCATGAAACGGCCGAATGCCGCGAAAAAATGTGCATGAATGTCAAGTGAAGTGTCTAGAATACTATGGCGATTTCAATTTTATGGGAAAAAAATCACTCATTTGCATATTTATGGTAATTTATGCAATTAAGGTCATACAATTTGCATTTTTAACCCATAAATCATATATTCTTCATATTAAAACATTAGTTTTCATTACATACCGTATATATTCTGTAGACCATTTGGAATAATAATACAACAAAAAAATTGGGAAGAGCCAGGTGATTCCTTATCTATTGTTTTGATAATTTCTTATGTATTTCTTTGTTTTTTAACTTATGTATGTATGTATCTTATTGTTTATGTTGGTTTATTTCATTTCTAACTATAAGTCAACTATTTTGACCCCCAAAATAAATACCTAAACTATAAACAGGGGGCTTCTAAAGCCCCCCTCCCAGGCTAGAAAGGGTTAAGATCAAATTTAATTGGTACACATAGTAAATCTAAGGACTTTCAATATTCTTTTGCAACCAAATTATTTGTATGGAAAATACTTTCTCGTCCCTAATAATGCATTTTATGCAATGTTTAACTTCACAGCGTGAAAAGAACAGGGAACAATTGCTCCAGTTTCTGAATTCAACCAGGAATTGAGAGGAGATTGAAGCCTGCAAAGATAATTGATCTTCAAAATCTTGTGATTGAGGAGAAAAAATATGCATTACCGGCTGTCATCATGGTGATTGAAAGAGTGAATGAACAGAGGAACTTGAGAAAAACAATCTTGAGAGGGAAGAAAAACTTGATAGGACACATCTTACGGGGGATAACATGCTGAGTGACATCTTAGAAGGGAACATGGATGGTAAACAGGGAAAAGGAAGACCATGAATTGGGGTGGTGTCAGACTTGATAAGTAATAGAACATATGACACAATGAAGAAGGCGGCTAAAGATATAGAAGAACGGTGAGGGAACTAAAGAGGGCTCTGGTGTGTGGAAAACACCTGTGAGGATCAGCTGTCGTAATTGCTTTCAACTGAGACTTTTTGTCAAATTAGATTTGATTTAGAGGTGGAATGTATGCGAAATCAATCAATCATTCTTAGTGTAATAATGCATTTTAAGTGTACCAGTATACTTGACTTTGACGCTGTTGTCTTTCAGAATCCGAAGTCCATTATTTACAAACTGCATTGAAGTTTAAATGAATATTTGGTCTGTTTGGAGCCAGAAGGGCGTTAACTTATATAATCTAACACAACATTCTGGCTCTGAACATACGATTTGATTGTTATTTTTCACCGGAAATAAACCCGTGGAATGGAATGGTGCTCAGTGGCCATGTTTTCTCTTCCCATTTAAATTCTATGTACTAGCTTGTACTAGGGATTGTAGAGAGTGTAGCATTGTGTAGAAATAAGAGACTATTGTTTAATGTTAGCCCAACATATTTAGGGGAACATAAAAACTGACTAATTATGTGCCTCATAGCTAGTGTACAAGTCTGCAATGTCCTGAATGGTTTCACGCTTTAAGCTCCCTAGTCAAAAAATAATAGTCTGAAGCTAGCAGAAAAACAGTTAGAAAAGTATATTTTCTTTTAAAAATGCACAGAATTTTTGTTTTTTGACTATTTTCAACTCTGAATATATTTTTCATGTATGTTTTTGTTCCAAATCCTTAGCCTTAACAATTTTTTGTCCATTTTTCTATTTAAAAAAAGAAGAAATTACATGTAGTCTAGTTTGTAAGAAATATCATGAAAATATTTTTTTAAAGCCAAGAAATATATATCTCGCATGTGAAAATGACCATGGTTAATCTGTCAAATATGACGAGTCTGACATTCTTTGTGATCTGCCTGCCAAATTGCAAAGACTAAGTTCTAAGGTCTAATGTGTGTTCTTTAAGTCGCCTTAGACTGTTTAGTAGAATATGAGCCAGAGGTATTTCCTTAACTTTTCATCATCAACTTCAGGTGGCGCTGTAAAGCGCTGCTGTGGCCTTCACAAGAGCACGCCATGCAACTCTTTCACCTGCCATTTGTGTTGCACCTTTCATTCCTTGTCCAGACACTTTCTTAATATCACCAGTCCAAGATATTGGTAGACGACCTCTATCACATATGCTTCCAATATGTTCATTTGAACCAAATTCATGACCCCATACCAAAACTTTGTATTACCCTTAATATTGGTAATGAGCAGCCTGTGTTTATCCATTTCTCTATTAAACCAATTTCGAATATAGATTGTAAGCATTATAGATGATTGAGTACTGAATTTTTCAAATGCAAATCCTGACCTGCATTTCTTGACTACATATTTTTTGTGATACTTCCATTACAGGGTGTATTTGTGAGCAAGTGACTTGTTTCATACCTTGCATGTTAGTTTGAATAATGTGAGAATAATTTTGCTCTTTTATTATATCTGCATTATTGCTGAAAAATGGGTACAACTTCAAACAATTTTACATTAAGTAGCAAGTTGCATGTAAATTTTCCAATAATAAATGGCTAATTTGGCCTTTCTTTTGATTATAGATTTGGTTCCCTCTTCTCATGGTAGAAATGTTTCAAGTTTGGTTATTATATTTCTCTCTTCTTTATTGCTTATTCCGTACCCTGATAATGTAACTTGTGGATCTGTCTGTTTAAACAAATCTAGCAAGAACAGGTATTACTACTTACATGTAGTCCCAGGAAGTGAGATAGGAAATTTACAGTTTAATGGAAGATAAAATGTAACTTATTGCAACAAACATTTTGAATGTGTTTATGAACCTCACAGATGTTCTAGACTGAAGAATGATCTAAAAGTTTTCTTAACATTTGATTGTAATGACAACATTAATCAATATTCATTTCTTTTTCCATTGAAATAAAATAAGAGGAGAGTGAAACTGGACATGAAATATTTCGCAGGGATTTCCAATAATGGTAGAGATTAGAGAGGGATTAATGTACATGTATAGATCACACCTCTTATTTCTCCAAGCAGTTCAAAACTTTGTAGTAAAAACTCTGATATATTGAGGTAATTATGCTGGCCCCAGCTCTTTATAATCTATGTTACCCTGATATGAAAAGATAGCTGGTAAAGCAAGGTCATTTTCATGGTCCCAAACTCCCAATGTCTTTGTTTCCACTGAATCTCCTTTCTAACATTAAAACATGTTCAATACTTTATTGTAAGCATCTAGATAAATTTTATGATGGGGTTTTCTATCATCTTTGTAAATAGTTAACCTCGTTTTGTACCATAAATACTGTAAAAATAAAGTCTGTACATTGTTAAATTTACTGACTCGATGTGTCTGCTATTCTGTGTTTTCAGAGAATTCAAAATCAAATTATGAAAAAGCATACATTTTTAATAATTATATGTACAAAGAAAAATGAAGTGCTGTGACATTATACCACTTTATTCAGAGCATTTTATTTTAGTATGTTTGTGTTAAATCATTCCTATACACTTTACATTTACTTATACTACAAGGACATATCGGTATGATAAAGTCTGTCATGACAAACCTTCACTAATGACAAAACTTCTTTTCCTTTCTTAAAAATCTTATGTATTTGCCTCAAGATTTGTAGTGCGCCCCATATTATTTGTTATACCAGGATTTCCAGTATCATCATGTCCATCCTAATCATGTTTACAGCTCTATTTACAGCATACCGTTAAGTGTACATATAACATGTTTGTGTGAAATACATGTACCCTACTGCTTAATGACAGTAAATTGGAGAAAAATCAAGGCATCTTCTACAGAAAGTTCATAATCTGTACACATAATTCCCCACTTTTTGTAACATATGTCTCAAAACTCTCATATGCAAAAAGAAATACCGCTATGATTATACAATACACAAACTAAAACATAGAAAAAGTAGTGATTTGGAAAATAAAGAAAAATAGTAAATTTGCAGCTTGGAGCGTACGCAGGGGGGGGGGGGGGGGGAACCCCCCCTCCAAAAAAAAAAAAAAAAAAATGTCCTGTTACACCCCCACCGGACCACACAATTTCTATGTACATGAATGCAAACTCAATTATGAATAAAATAAGCCATTAAAACATTGTCATTAAATATCAGGCATACTTCTATTTGTATGTATCTTTACAACCCAATGCTTCTCAAAAGACCTGCCAAAAACAGCATAACTAATATGCACCAAGCATTCATTTTATTGGGTATTAAAAGATTCTAGGAAGTAATATCCATTATTTTACAGACTTTGACTATCTTGCACTTTTAGACATAAAAGCCCAAATTATATGAAAGCAAAGGGATACTGCAGCCAATATGCAAGTGAGTCCAGATGTGTGTGACCTCTGCCTATACAAGTCTCACATTTGATTACAATATTGCCTGAACTTAAGTTATACAAATATTCTAGACTAACTGAGTTCATTAATTTTCAATGAGTACACTTTAAATGCCATAAGAAAGAAAATCCTGCCAAAGAAAGAGTAGTGAAAATGATGTCTATCTCTTTCTTTTGAAACGGAAATATGTACCTACACTATAATTATTATTATTTACCTTTTATGTATATGTATATATCGAGGGGAAAAAGGCATATTACCTAAAAACATTTCATTCGTTCACTAAAGATAATTATTCAAAAACCTTGGTTTCACAGAAGGGGTTATAGATATAAAATGGTATGTACAATAAGAAACATGGTAAGTTGATTCCTTAGCTTTCAATGCTTGTTGTACATGAATATGGCATTCAGAGGAGTTATTTGGGTTACTTTCAGTTCGGTTCGTCAGAAGCAGCCACTTTGAAATTCTTATTGATTGGATGGCTTTGGACCTGGAGGGCTCGGAAATTATACCTAGCCGTCAGCCTGATGGGGGATGGTGTCTCATTGGCTAGTCTGTGCTGAAGAGGAGTCATGGAGGCAGCCATCTTGCTTTCGTCTGTCAGAGGTCGTGAGATGACCTTATAGATACTGTTGTTTTGCATGGATGACCTCAGCTGTCTTGCTTCAATCAAACGAGATGCCTTATCCTCCAACAGTGGCAGATCCTGAAAATTGGGGACAATATCACATGCATATTACGGGTAGGAAAAAATGCACACATTATCAGAGCCTGAAACTACCTGAAATATTTAGTTGCTTTATCTATAAAAATCAAACTTCAAACTTAACTTTGCCTGGGTTCAAACTTGTTTACTAAAAGTTGACATGTAATGTTTGTGAATCTCTCCATTTCTATCCCCTTTCTTATTACATCTATACAATATGACCATGAAGTGACTGAAGTCTAGTACATTTATATCTCCTTCAATTTCACAGCTTTACTCTCACTTTCTTGAATTCTTCTAAAAAAGTGTATGGAGAAAATTGAGTTGCCAAACTTAATGGGGAACTGGGGAAGTCCACCCTGATATTTAGTTACTGGGTAGTTTTATTGACAACAAAATACATAAAAATTAAAAGAGAGAGAAACAGATTGGTAAACATTTGGGCAAAATCTGATTGAAAATAAGGTACGGTAGTGTATGAGTTTCTGAAGTTGTAATTAATGAACACGAATTTGTTGACATAATTGCTCTGTACCAGAAAAAGTCATAATTTTCATTTTCTGGATCCAAAGATAAATAGATGGAAGTTCGACTGCACGCAGTCGAAAAATGATGCCTCCACCAAAGAGCGATTTCACAAACCAAACCAGAAGCAATTTTTCAAATTCAAGTTTACTAATCCATTAAGAGGTTCTCAGAATATCATGATTACAAGCTATTTTTCATATACATGTATACCCTTTAAACTTTGACCCTAAAATCTAATCAGTTCATTGGCTTTGCAAGATACATGTCTTGAGTTTGATGGTATTTAGTCCATCGGTCCTAATGACAATGCAATCACAAGCTATTTTTGCATAATGAGCCCCATGACCTTTGACCTCACGACCCCCAAATCTAATCAGTTCATTGGCTCAGCACGGTACATACATGTCCTGCGTTTGATGGTAATCTGTCCATCGGTTCTAATGATGTGATCACCAGCTTTTTATGCATACATTATGAGCCCTGTGACCTTTGAACTCGTGCCCCAAAATACTATCAATTCATTGACTCTGCAAGATACATATATAACCTAAGTTTGGCAGGAATCCATCAATCGGATCTTGAGATAACGCTATCACAAGCTATTTTTGCATACATAATGAGCACTGTAACCTTTTACCTTTGACCTCATGACCCCAAAAACTAATCAATTCATCGGCTCTGCAAGATACATACATGACCTAAGTTTGGCAGGAATCCATCGATCCTTGAGATAACGCGATCACGAGAATCTGAATGGGACAGACGGACGGACGGACAACCCCAAAACATAATGCCTCCGGCTACTTTGTAACGGAGGCATAAAAATGACTCGTCAATAAGCGGTGGCACTCTATGGGTTAACCTATGACCATGCTTGCATACATGTGTGTGTCATCACCATCTCTCTCTCTCTCTCCCCCCTCTCTCTCTCTCTCTCCCTCTCTCTCTTCCTCTCCCCCTCTCTCTCCCTCCCTCTCTCTCCCTCTCTCTCTCCTCCCCCCCTCTCTCTCTCTCTCTCTCTCTCTCTCTCTCTCTCTCTCTCTCTCTCAATGTCTCACCCTTGATATAGTAGATATAACGTCTCCTGATTCCTGTAGTCGTTTGGATTCCTCAATGAGAACTAATGAAAGAAAAGTAAACAGTTCAGTGCTTGCATGTATAAACTATGCCATGGTGGACAATGCAAAATCAGTCTAAAGGATGACCTAAAGAGTGTGAGTCAAAAAAAAGTTTACACCTGAAAATTGCTTATTATTTAAAAAATCATCTATGAACAGTAAATTATTATACATCTTTAATATGAAAGAGTGTTTTATTTCAAATCATTTGGTATCATTTTTGTGTGGTATGTGTTCATGCTTGGATGAACAGGAGGCATTGTTTGTGAGAGTGCAAAAATTGACTTGCGCCAAAGTTGCTTATGTAATGTATGAATAAAACGATTGGGATTTGGGTATTAATTCGGTCTTTGCAGATCCAAATAACATCCCTAACAAAATTAATCATGCCACACATATCAAATATTGAATATCAAATATCAACCAAAATTTGTGCGCATGTGTGTGAGTGTGTGACTTTGCTTCTGCAAAAAGCATATGTATTCCGTTTGATACATTCAATTCATTCTCCCAACATAATACATACTGTGGGCATCACTTTGGCGCAAGTCTATTTTTTAACTCTCGCAAACAATACCTCCTGTTCATCATAGCGTGATCACATACCACACAGAAATGATACCAAATGATTTAGGATGAAACACTCTTTCATGAGATGTATAATAATATACTATTCATAGATTATTTTTAAAATAATTAGCAATTTTCTAGGTGTAAACTTTTTTTTGACTCACACGGTATTTCCCCCATCAAAAATGAAAGGAGAAGTCCACCCTGATATTAAATTGGTTTTAATAGAAGCAGAAAAATTAGAGAAACAAGTCAGTGAAAGTTTGAGAAAAACCGGACAACAAATAAGAAATTTATGAATCTTTCAAAATCATGAAAATCATGGAATCTTTGAGACAAATTGGCAATGCAGTCAAAAATTGTGATGTCATCTCCTTACAATTCACCACTGATCTGAATGACAGAATGACCCAAAATCTCAATTTCTCTGAATGTTAATAGAATTTAATGATATTTCTTGCATTCAACAAAGGATAACATGTGAGGGGGTGACATCATATTTAGAGACTGTGTTGCCAATTCGACTCACAGACTTGAAGTATTTCATGAAAAGTTATGGAATTTTTAAAATCCATATGTTTCCTATTTATTGTCTAATTTTGCTCAAACCTTTATTGATCTGTTCTTCTATTTTTTTCTCCTTGTATTAAAACAAATTATTTTCAGGATGGACTTCCCCTTTAAGCTTTTTCTGAAATTTGATGCATCATCACAATCATTTTTCTGTGATTCATTTTTTGGGGTTTAACAAGAAAAAGATTACCAACATTTATGGTTCATTTTTTAAACACCAATTAAAAAGAAAACTTCAGTGGACAGATAAATAGAGGTGGCGAAGTTGACAAGCCTGAAAAAAGGGCAGGAAAAAGTGAATTACTGAAATAAGATCATAGAGAGAACTCAATTTGACAAAAGAAAAACTGTTAGCCACATAAGATATGTACTGAGTCTTGTATATCACAAGATATTATGGGGGGAAAAGAAGAATAAAATGCTTTAACTTCCACTTGGTTAAATGATATGATCTTGGCACAATTGCAAAACATGACTCCATATATATTAAAATCCTCTTTTTCTTTTTCCAAAGGAAACTATATCTGTATCAACAGTCAAACTTGTGAAGTGCCCACATGAACAATTTTAGTCAAATATAAAGGCAGATTGCACTGCAAAATGTGTCGCGTTTCAATGTCAATTTATGAACGAGAGTAGAATACAAGATTTACCTTGCTTAGGTAGCTCTTTATCGTTCATCTGCATCAGGGGTATTACCGGTTTGTGTTGTTTCTGGAAAACAATAAAATAAATAACATAATTTCTTTTTCACATACTATTCTAATCATTGATATGTAGGAAGACAGCTCTCATTTATATATCTATATATGTATACATACAATTTTTCAACTATAATAAGTTAACAAATATTTTTGGATATATATGTATAGCATACGATTTCAGGCTCTCATTTTCTCTTCCTCTTTTATTTCACATCAGATTAACCACATCCATCTTTCTGGAATTGTCTGACTTCTTAGCTTTTCCTTACCACAGCATGTCGTAAGTGCTTCATGCGTTTATTGACCTCATGAGCAACTTTAGGAGGGTGTGTTCTCCTCTTTGCTGTGGTCTTTACCATCAGCTCATCCAGTTCAAGGGTCCTTGACGTGATTTCATTCTTAAGTTCTACATCCACTGGTTCATAATCTGCAAGAAAATTCAATAAAATATTTAATAGTTCATTAAATTAACATACATCAAATGAAGTAAAAATATCTTTAGATAATACAAATGTTAACTGTTAACCTTGAATTGAATTCAATGGAATGGAATTAAATTTCAAGATCTCAACATTTCGTACATTGATTTGTATACACCCTACGTCACAATGCTCAAACATATTCAATTATTCATAGCAATTTTTCACAAGTCTTTCTTCATAATTCATACAAAAGGGCCAATATAATTTTCTCCAGTACTTTTTGTTTGATAAATACAAATTGTATTTTCTTCTTCTTCAAAGTTGGTCTACAGAATCATATTCGTTAAGTTCTGAATGATAAAAACTACAATATCTTCAACTTGCATTCATGTTCATTGTGACTTCTTCAATCTATAAAAAGAAAATTCATTACCAAATTTAAAGCAAACGATTTTTAGATCACAATTCAAAAGACCAAAATGCATCAGTTTTAAAACAAACTTGAAACCCTCAACTTCCTCTGAACTTGAATTATTTTAATTCAAGAAACCTAACATAAAACGAACATATATGAACAACCCCAAAACAGCTTCTTTTTCTGTTGTGTACACAAGTAAATTTACCTTTGGTTGTATTGCCATCTTCCAATGACTGGCTCCATGTTTGTCCTTCTACTGAGATATTGTCATGAACTGCATTTTCATAGATCTGGGGAACAGAAAGATTTAGACAATAAATATCATCTTCAACATGCTGACTGAAGGCATTCATTCATGTACATCTTTTATCATCGTATATTTATATTAATAATCAGAAAAGCTCAACTCAGGTCAACTCAAATCTTCTAGAGTAGATGTAGACAATGACTAGTCAGCAGAGTAGACTAGAAATAAATATTGTAGAATTATTGTGGTTTGGTGGACCTAGAAATGAATCACAAGATACAGGGTTTGAATGCTTGTCACAACTTTAGTGAGTTTACACTAGACCCTATGCTACATTTACACTAGTCACTACATTTACATGTAGGGTCTAGACCTATATCATTACTTTTTAAAAAGCTTTCAAGTCAGCAACACAAAATTAACCTTTTTTGTACATGATTTTACTTCTCTACTTGGCCAAATACCACAACCCAAACATGGCAAGTTTGAACAAAAAATGAAATTGTTTATCATATCATTTGAAAGTATGATTTGTGCAGTCGTTTGCCTTGAAACATGTGAGTGTGAAGTGTCATCCTGTGAGAAAGTGTAGACTGTTTTATGTCTTTGTTTTTCGGAAAAATACTAAAAAAAGATTAGAAAATTGACACGAAAGGGAGAAGAAACATAACGACTTATCATGACCATTATTTGAGCAATGGATGAAGATTCATTTGATTGTTGGTACAATAGTAGCCAGTAAGGCAGTGAGTAGGGTATCTCTACGCCGGAGTTACGGGGCAAAAATGGATACGATAGTCACTAGCGCCAGCGGCCAGGGCCCCTGCGCGCGCTGATAATTAATCGAAGGAAGACAATATAACATTTGACATACCTCCTTAAATCTTTGCTTTAATCCTTCCCGAAACTCCTCATTATACTTTGTCTTGTCTATGTGTTGATTAACTGATGACAAAAGTGTGGTAATTGACGTTTCAACAGCTTGTTTACTACAGCAGCTAATCTTGCGCGAGGTTTTAACATCGACAGCGGAATCCATTTTCAATCTTTGCGCGCGTCTGGCATGATCAGCGACTAATAATCTATGCTCCTCTCTTTTTTTTTTTAAATTTTGAATATCAAAAAATGCTCAGGTATTCAAAAAACATTAATTAGGTAAAATATTATCATTAAGATTTTTTCAAGTATATTAGATTAGTCAAATATCTTTAATTTCTAAAATAATTAGTACACTATATTGATCGAGGCTCTTTCATAAAACGGTGAATACCCGAAATGTCGTACACCAGCAAATGCAACAACAACGATATTTGCATCTCTGCTTTACACTGCAGGCAAGCAAGGAACTCGCGACTTTCATGACTATGGACTCAGACCGTGGTACATTTATTGACTGCCATTGCCATTTAGCTGCGGATGATTTCAAAGAGGTAAATATTTTATCCACAGACCACAAAGACAATATACCGTACGTTGTCGTTAGTCTAGACTAGTCTTCAGCTTTATTTACAATGTATCACATACACTATGAATATGACTGACAAAGAAAGCGGACAAATTTAGACCGAAAACTTCAGTCTCTCTAATCGTCGGTTGTTCCACTGAGACTACGTCTGGCTCCACTAGACCTCCGATTATAGAATGTCAACAAATGTCAGTTTTATTAAAGAAATGACCCAAATCAGACGGTTATTTCTGTCTAGGACAAAATATGCAGTTCCTCAGGGCAGCAATTCTCGAAACCGTCATAACTACAAGTTCACCGACATCCCATTGAAACGCGTGTTAAACATACATGCATGTCAATGGGATGTCGGTGAACTTGTACTTATGACGGTTTCGAGAAACGCTACCCAGGTAGACAAAGGAACATCCCTTCACTGCTATTATGTAAAAATGTGTAGAACAGGTGTCACATGCATATTCACCTTTTTACATAATAGCAGTGAAGTCAGATTTTCCTTTATCTACCTAAGGAACTGTATATTTTGTCCGCTTTCTTTGTCAGTCATGTTCATAGTGATAGGCCCTAGAGCTATATGAGGCGCTAGTCAAATACTAGACAGAAATAACCATCTGATATGGGTCATTTCTTTAATAAAACAGATATTTGTTGACATTCCCCATATAATCGGAGGTCTAGTGGAGCTAGACGTAGTCTCAGTGGAACAACCCAACGATTAGAGAGACTGAAGCTTTTGGTCTAGTCAAATACGTCTTACGGCCACAGGTTCTAATCATGCTAATTTGCATGCCCTTTTTTAAGGCCTAGTTTAATGCATAGCATGGGCCATTGGGATCCCTAAATATCACGCTGATTATGCATGATGAGAATTGATGCACTGATGCAGTGCAGATATTGGTAAATAAGAAATCATTATCTCAATCACCGATGGCTGACCTATAGACTTTTAGTTGACCATGCATGTCCAATTTAGATGGGTCCTACTAATCACTGCTAATAATATATTTACCTAACAGTTTAAAACAAGATCGATACAGTTTGGGCCGGGGAGGGGGAGGGGTAAGGAGGGTTTCATCCTTTCTTCTGTGTTTCCTGTGTAAATTAATATGAAATGAGTAAGCAAATGATGTGAAATGAATATGTATCTGGAAGAGACTGAAGAAACGAATTGAAGTTGGAACAAAAACAAGTATGCAACGAGTCCAATAATATTGTCAACTCTTAGTCTTACTCTTTAATACTTGTCATGTTGATTTCAATTATTGTTAATAGTTCATTGTACAATGATTTGTAGGTCTCTTATAATTTGCATGTATGTTAATTGTTATTGACAAAAAGCATGTGAATTGTGAATATAGCTAGCCTTTTTTAATTTTAATGTTTATTTATTCATTTTTTTATTTCGATAATAGGGAGTTTGAAAATGGGAGTGATAAAAGAATTTTGAATAAAAAAGAACAATAATGCCTTTAGAAAAACTAGGTTAAAGAACCAACTTTTGCTGGGACCAACTCTGTACAGTTATTAATAATTAGCATCACAGAACTCCTTCAATTTGGTCCCGTATAGTGAGGTGCACAAATATTGTAATGAAATAAATCAGTTTAATTTTTGATAAAATTGTATGTTGTATAAATTATCTCTATGTTTTCATTTCTTTTTGTTTGACAGTCTTGCATTAATTATTCTTACCAGGTAAATCTTTTCTTTTCTTTGTGTAGGACATTGGTGAAGTGATTTCAAGAGCTAAGGGGGTAAGTGCGACTTTACTTACAAATGACAAGTTCTGACAAGAATAATAACTGTTCTATGTTTGAACCCCACAATTTTTTTTTTGATACGTCTATCTGGCAACTTGTATTTTTGTTTTCTTGTTTAAGTTTGCTATTTTTTCTGTGTACTTTGTTATGCCTCTTCCACTAACAGTGGTGCAAGAGGCATTAAGTTTTTGAGTTGTCCATATGTCTGTCCATTCTGCCTTTTGTTACCACGATAAATCAAGAACTATTTAGACAAATTTTAACCAAACTTGGATATAACATGTACATTGTATGGACATGATGAACTGACTAGATTTGGGGTGTAAAAAGTCAAAGGTCACAGGTTACAGGGTCATAAAAGTGACTTGTAAAAGCTACCAACATATTGTTACCATGATAATTTGAAAAGCATCTAAACAATTAAAACCAAACTTGGATAAAGTATGTATTCATTGTTATTATAGAAATAAGCTCCTGGTGAAATGTGCGGAAGTGAGAATTGCACGTAGTGCAAAGGCATTCATTGTTGACTGTGCTCAGTCAAATAACTCATTTTTCATTGCTGTAGAGTGTGGTGATATAAAATGAACTTGAACTCACAACCCACTGTAGTGCTCTCATATGTTGTTATTTCATCCTATTTAGAATGGAGTGGAGGCAGTATTAGTAGTAGCAGAGCATTATGGAGAGTTTGATAGAATTATCGAGCTGTCTCGATCTTTTCCTGGCTTTGTGCTTCCATGCCTAGGTGTTCACCCTGTTCAGGTATGTGTCTTATATCCTACCCCCCTCCCACCCCCACCCCACCCCACCCCACCCCACCCCAAAACACACACATACTCTTCCCTTGATGCAAGTCAGAACTACAAATGTTTATTGAAGTTCAACAGCCACCTGAAAGGCCCTGTATGGTGTATACTTAGCTTAATATGCACATAGTATTCATTCTGAATATTACGTTGTGTACTTTATGCAATGGTTACAGTGAACAAAAAGAAAGGAATGATTGTTAACGTAACGTTAATGGATAGAAGTACATTGTAGTTTGCTTTGTTTGTTGCGACAGGGGTTAGGAGAGGAACTTCTCAGTGCCCTTCCCAAAGTTCCGCTTGCCTTCTCAAAGGTCTGCTTGGACTGTTAAGATAGCATTATGCTGCTTGTGCTGCCTCTGCTACTAATGTATCAATGAAATCCAGAAAAGCTTCATGAAAAGTTCACAGGTACATAGTAAATGTATACAATTTACCAAGTGATATGTACAGGTAGATATCTTCTTCTTTTTTTAAAATGATGTTTTAGTGATCGTTTGAAAAACAAAAAGTAATTCCTGTTAGTGATCTTTACTTGAAGAAAATTGTTAAGATGTGTCATTTACTTGATTTCCAGGGCCTAAGTCCTGATATGCAAAGAAGTGTTACTGAGAGTGACATCGTGGAAGCCTTGCCTGCTATTGAGAAGTATGCTGATCAGCTTGTAGCTGTTGGGGAGGTGGGTTATTAAAAAATAATTTTAGAACAGGTAACTTCAAGAAAACAACATGCTTAATAATATTGTAATTGTAATTATGATATTCTGTTCTTGTATAGCGCATCACACAATATGATATAAGATCCCTATGTGCTTCCAAAGAGCTTTGGAAATTATTACCCTAAGTTTTAGGTCCGACAGCCATTATCAGCGCACAGTGCATTTCAAGGAATAATCCTACCAGGTACCCATTTACCTCACCTGGGTGGAGTGAAGATGAAGATTAATGTCTTGCCAAAGGATGTCAGTGTTGTGGCATGGATTTGAACCCTATACATTGTGGTTCACAATCCGGAGAATTCTCCACTGGACCATGAGTAATGACATCTCTACAAACCCAAAAACCTCTACATGTATTTGTACCTTGTACCTTAATTGTGTTCGTCTCTTCTGAAAGGTCCGCTATAACTTTGCGTGACGAGAGTATAGATTTGTGTATTTCAGGGGTTATGCTATTTGGTTTAGTTTTGGGGTTGCAGATTTGAAGACTGTGCTGGATTTGATTTTGATGTCCACGTTTAGTTGAGGTAGGTCATTCCATAGTTTTACAACTTCAGGGAAGAAGGATTCTGCGAATTGTGTTGATGAGCACTGAAGGACGGTCAACTGTTTATCATGTGTCCACCTACTTCTTGATCCTTTCCTCTGGAGATAATCTTCTAGTGGGATATCTAGTTCTGCATTAATCATCTTGTGGAGTGCAGTTAGCCTTTGATATTCATTCATATTTTCTCTGGTGTGAGGACTTTTATAACTTATTAATTTTAGTCATAAACAACTTGCTTTACTGAAGAAATGGAGGGATTCAAATGTAACCTTTGTCCCTAAGGAATATAGGTAGATATATGTCTTGTACTTAGATCACATAGGTGGGATATCTTTCTTAATGTGACAGGCAATGAAGAAATGTCCAAACGAATTTGCCTATATGTGTGTTGTATACTATGTATATTGGAATTTACGCTAAGTAGAGTTTGAGGTCAAATAATGAGATATGAAGGGTCAGATGTCACTGAACTATGTTATTCGGTAGTATCAAGACTGATTGGAAAGAGTGGTGTACTAGTATTCTACTCTTGACCCTGTATTTCATGAATGTAAAGAGCTAATGATAATTTAGGCTGTATCCTGCTAAGATTATTTGAATACTTTAATGTTTTTGACTTACACATTTCAGTTTCGAGTTATATGACATAGTGCATTATGATCAAATGCTTAAACATGTTTCTTATGATCACCAGTTTAATAAAATAATGCATTGTCTTTGTCAATTTTTTGTTCAGGTTGGATTGGATTTCACTCCAAGAAATGCTAAGACTTCTGAAGACAAAGACATCCAGAGACTGGTCCTATCAAAACAAATACAACTAGCAAAGAGACTGAATCTACCACTGTAAGTAGACCCATTGATAACTTTTTGCCTTCACCTTTCCTGTGATTTACCCAGCTTTATACATATTTCTCAAATAGGATGATTAATTTACTTCACCTTGAGCTGTAGTCTGAAGACGGCATTTTCTTGTATGTTAGGAAAAATAGTGTTAATTGTCAGATCAATCTAAAAATGGCAGTAATTAGCATTACCAGTGGTGCTTTCTTAACTTTAGGCAAACACAGCTAGCTGTGTGCAATTAACAACATATAAGTTGTCCCACTTTTGATTTGTTATAACAATTAAGAGCAATTTACTAAATTACATGAAAAGAACATTGTTTTCTGAATACCACCCCAGATTTCCTTCTATATGAAATGTACGTGCATTGTCCTTATATTAATATACAGAGTATTCTTGAGTATTTGTTGACCAATTGTGGTAGATTTGTTTAGATACTGTATTTCTGCCCATCTTTCATCTATCATACAGCTAATTACCACATATACTCTGACTTAATACATTTATATTTGTTGCTATTCTTACATACTTTTTTCTTCTCACAATCTTTGATTTGACAGAAATGTTCATTCTAGATCTGCAGGCAGACCCACTATTGCATTGCTCCATGAACAAGGTATCAGTTTCATGTTCACATCATCACACAACATGCACCAATATCTCTAAGTTAACAATACATGAAATTAAAGTCTAGCAATATTGGATGTGTTCGGTTACTGATTTCTTTTTAAAGCTCAATACACACAGGCATTACTTGTCTGTGACAACACATTCTGTAATGTGTTCTCTCTCTCTCTCCCAGATTGGAGTAAAGGGTCTTACATCTTGTAAATACTGTGTGCTATGATCATGATAATGGCTATGACAGCTACAATTTTTGTTAATCCCCAGAACATTTGAGTCTTTGTGATATGCACTATTATACTAGCGCAGCATACAGAGTATATTTATATAGTAGCTGCTGGGCTAGCTATATAAATTGATCTAATTATTATAATCAATAGGATCCATGTTATAAAGAACTGTCAATCAGACAATCAGACAATCAGACAATCAGACAATCAGAATCAACCGATTTATAAAGTCTCACTTCTGATTTTGTTTCTTGATTGTAGGTGCTGAGAAAGTATTGCTTCATGCATTTGATGGCAAGCCATCTGTAGCTATGCAGGGTATACAATATGGCTACTATTTCTCCATACCTCCTTCTATAGTCAGGAGTGAACAGGTTGGTGTCCTTCATTAATGCTTTGCTTGCTTTCTTCGCCCCTCTGCACAGGCGCTTTTTTGCCACACTTGCAATTTTGCTTCGTATAATGCAATGGCTTTGCAAAATGTCCATTTCTGGTATTAATTAGCTCCATATCCCTTTTAATACAGGTAAAAATTTATCATGCACAGTTAAATAATCTTGAAGCCTTTGCTATATCTGTCCCATTAAAAAATATAATGTAGCACAGGGATATTTGTACGGAACATATGAGTGAATCCAGTTGTCAAAATCATCTATAGGCTAGGACCTACTAGCTAAAAATGAAAAATTAAAATTGGTTTTGAAATGAGAAGAGATATATATGAGGGGAATAATTGATGATTTGACGATCCAATAAGAAAATATGCTGCACATTTGAACTATTTCTCTCTCACTCTTCCCGATGTATTCACCAGTTTCATAGCTCCCGAGCTGATCATAGGAGCTGTAATTTAATTTGTTTATTCTCTCTCTCTCTCTCTCTCTCACTTTCGCTAATGGACAAGAAGCAAAAGCTTGTTAAACAGCTCCCTTTAGAGAGGATTTTACTTGAGACTGATTCCCCGGCACTGGCTGCAGAGAAACAAGTGAGTCTTATCATTCCAATCTTTCATCAAATACCAAGCATATTTGTTTGACAATCCTTCCCTTAAAGACAAGAATGACACAAGTTTCAAATAAGTTACAGAACCATTTTTTTAATTAGAAAAAAATAAGACTATTTCGTGGACTTCAATGAATTGAAACTTCTTGTACGAGACAGTAAGGTTACATTAATTGTTATAATTATATATTGTGTGCGGGTAAGCCTGAATCCGATGACCGGGGTAATAATATATCTGTAAAGCGCTTAGGCACATCGTTGAATCGGTGTATTGAGCGCTATATAAAAAACTGGATTATTATTATAATACATGTAGATAATTTAGGAGTACCGGTAACGAGTGTATTAAACATGTTCTCTACTCCTTACTATCTTATCAATAACACTCTGTACATATTTTTTATTGAATGCATTTCCTTAACTTACCGTCTATACATGAAGGTTTTTTATAACATTTTTTAATTGTTTGAAACCTTTTTTTTCCGGAAAACAGTGAAATTGCTTTTTATAAAATTGCATTTATAAAAACCTTAAAAAACATGATTTCTTATTCATTTTACCCATATTCAAATGTGCATAGGTGCAATGAAACGATAGGCATATGGGCATATTTTCTTCTTTTTTTTGGAGGGGGGGGGGGGGGCGAGGGGTTGAGTCTTAACAGATGGATATCAACCATCCTGTTTATAAGATTGTTATTGCATTCTGTTGTAATACCAAACAGATCCTCGTGAAAAACCACCACTATTGGTGAAAATGGTTGACCCTGTATAAATATCAAAATAAATGAATTGAGATGTTTCCTATCTATGCCATACCCCCTTACTTCCTGTATCTCTGTTTTTCCTCCTTTATTTCCCATTCCTCCACGTTTGTGTGAAGTTTCTGCTGCATTTCTTCATAATATCATAGAGGATATTTTACCTGTAAGAGCTACATTGATTTTCCTAAATTATGAATCAGAAACCGATTATGAAATTGTACCTTTTGATAATCATCACTTACATTTTTGTTGTTCCCTCTCATAGACAAGAAACGAACCCAGCAACATCCACATATCATGTGACTACATCGCAGAGGTCAAAGGGGTGTCAGCAGAGACTGTTCGACAAGTAACCCGGGAGAATACTTTGAAACTTTTCCCCCAAATTCAAAGGTTTCTTAAAGCAAGATGAGGACATCTTAAAGGACTGCAATTTGTCAAATCAGAATTTATCTTTCATAATGACAGTTGATGAGTGTGATAGTGATAGTGTAATCAATTAAAGAAGCTTACTGGTCACAAAATGTTTTATCGCCATGGTTCAAGCATCTATGATATGACATGTGTAAAATCTTGAAAGGTATTGGATGGAATGGATTAGAATAAATGCATCAATCGGTCTGTCTCTTCATCATTACAATCACTGCTGCCCATTGGTTATTTTTCCTTATCACACTCTCTTTTCCTCTCTCTCTTTATCTACCTCTTTCTATATCTCTTCTCTCTCTCTATCTCTCTCTTCTCTTTACTCCTTTTGTCAACTCACCTTTAGTCTTTACCTTTCTCAGATGTACACTCTTACATCATTCTTATTTCTATCCCCATTTCTTTGGCTACTTTTTCTTTATACAACATATTTTCTATTTTTTCCCCCTCCTTTCCCTCTTTTTTTTTCACACTCACTCTTATCCTTTCAATTAACAATCTGATCACTTTGCATATATAAATATTATATTATCATGCCTCCTCCATATCTGCTCTTTGTTGTTGTTGCAGGCCATTTGTCTTTGTGTGGGCAGTTTGTACCATGCAGTACAACATGATGAAACCGTTGTCACATTACATTCTGCATTCGCTCTTTAAACATCTAATTTCCTTTGCATAAATTCTCTGTTTACATTTTATACATTAGTTTTTAACAATTAGGACACGTTGTACTAAAGGTTCTTTCAATACCTTGAAATATTTTTCTTCTTTTTTATTCATAATAAAAAAAAACTTAACTGTACAAATCATTTCACAATTATTATGAATTATTGCCATGATATCAATTTCCATTATACAAATTATCAAAAAATTGCTTTATAGCATTGCAAAAAGTATGGTATAGGAATAAAAGTAATGCTGTAAATTTGCATATATCTTGTAATCTTAATTAATTTTCCAAAGAGTTAAATGGTATTTTGCCATTATTTTAGAAAACACATATTAAACATATTTATTGTACATGTCCCATATATTTTAATTTTCCGAAATGAATAACAGATTACTATTATCATACAGAGTCACAAGATGTCTATACTAATATGCTCTGCTTGTGCAATTTTTTATTTCAAAACCTATGGATAATTTTTTGTGTAATAAAATGTCAGACAACTATTACTATACAATGCTAATCTCAGCCTTTCCTTCATTTATGAGTATCATTTCCAGAATTTCTGTAGAAATAGATTTCTTGTAAAGCATTCCAATATCATAAATCCAGATTGGCCAATAGTCAACATTTTCTGTCTTGGGAGAATAAATACCAGAAATAATTTTGATAAACCATAAAAAAGTACACTAAGATTCTATCAAGAAGTTTTGTATGTCCTGGTTGCCACTAGTCTACACAAGTACTGATTTTAAGCGATTAATAAAACATTCATTACTATAATAATAGAGCACAAATGCATAGTTTGTTTTCCCTAATTATTGCATGATACATGTACATGTAAGTAACAATATTATTAACAAATAAAAGGAATGCACCGTTTCATTGCCTCGCTCTTTATTTTTAGTTTGCAGCACAAAATGCACTGCTATGTGTAAATTTGAAGATATAAAGCAACTAAATCTAAAACTGTTAATGTTATGGCATGTTTATTGCCCACTTGCTTTCTGTAAAAGATGTTGTACGCGTAATCCATGTAAATCTACAGTTCTTTAAAGTTGTTTTTAATTTACATGAAAAATCTTACAAAGCACACAAAGACCTCTGACAGTTTAAACCTGATAGATAATAGATAATATAGATAGATAATATGAATGACACCAGTTGTACAAAGTCCTTCCCCATGTAGTGTTGCACCAAACATTCACAATTCGCAAACCAACTTCATTATTGCCACTTGGAAGTAATTCAATGTCACAAGATGTGAAGAGTGCAGATAATCTAAAGAGTTGATATCTTGAATTCAGAATAGTCTTGTATGATGACCAGCATCAAAGTGAAGTTGAAAGTTTACTGTTCAGTGCAACGAAGAAAGCATATATTCCCATCTGCCTCGTTAACAAGTTCCTTCCACTCTAAGTTGCAAGGGCAAATCAGGTTGTTTAGATGGCTAGATGACTGTAACCTGTAAATCAATAAACAAAAGGAGAATATTAATAAACATTGATTTGCATTCATGTACAAGAGATTAAACTAGATGGAACTTCGACTGCGCGCAGTCGAAAATGTGCCTCCGTCATAGAGCAATTTTACAAACCAAAACAGAAGAAATTTTTCGAATTCAAGTTCAATTGTAATCCATTAACAGGTTCTCAGAATATTGTGATTACGAGCTATTTTTGCATACATGAGCCAATGACCTTTGACCTTATGAACCAAGAATCTACTCAGTTCATTGGCTCTGCAAGAAACATACATGACCTAAGTTGGCAGGAATCCATCAATCGGTTCTTGAGGTAACGCGATCACGAGCTGTTTTTGCATACATAATGTGCCCTGTGGCCTTTGACCTTTGATCTTGTGACCCCTACATCTAATCAGTTCATCGGCTCTGCAAGTAACATACATGACCTAAGTTTGGCAGCAATCTATCAATCGGTTCTTCAGATAACGCGATCACAAGCTCGTTTTGCATACATAATGAGCCCTGTGGCCTTTGACCTTTGACCTCGTGACCTCAAAATCTAATCAGTTTTTCGGCTTTGCAAGTAACATACATGACCAAAGTTTGGCAGCAATCCATCAATCGGTTCTTCAGATAACGCGATCACGAGCTCGTTTTGCATACATAATGAGCCCTGTGACCTTTGACCTTTGACCTCGTGACCCCAAAATCTAATCAGTTCATCGGCTCTACAAGATACATACATGACCAAAGTTTGGCAGGAATCCATCAATCGGTTCTTCAGATAACGCGATCATGAGCTCGTTTTGCATACATAATGAGCCCTGTGACCTTTGACCTTTGACCTCGTGACCCCAAAATCTAATCAGTTCATCGGCTCTACAAGATACATACATGATCAAAGTTTGGCAGGAATCCATCAACCAGTTCTTCAGATAACGCGATCACGAGCTCGTTTTGCATACATAATGAGCCCTGTGACCTTTGACCTTTGACCTCGTAACCCCAAAATCTAATCAGTTCATCGGCTCTACAAGATACATACATGACCAAAGTTTGGCAGGAATCCATCAACCAGTTCTTCAGATAACGCGATCACGAGAACGGGACGTACGTACGTACAGACGTACGTACGTACGTACGTACGGACGTACGGACGGACGGACAACCCGAAAACATAATGCCTCCGGCTACTTCGTAACGGAGGCATAAAAACATAACCTATTGTAGACCCTACATGTATCTCTAAAGACAATATTGTGTATTTCACTATTTTAGTAAGGCCTGGACAAATAAGCACCTAGTAAAATGGTCTTAATTCCTTAATTAGCAATACATCCTCACTTTAGTATGTTTATGTAGGCCTACGAAGTTTAAACGTGCAGCAAGAAATTGTCTTGTAAAGGCCATGAAAGCGACTTGTTAAAACACAGTGAGATGCTTTGTTTATGACGTGAAGGTGAAAAGCTAAGATGACTTGTTAAAACTCGCCACGCTGTGCCACCTTCTCGACAAAAGGCACCTTGTCCTTGGCGAACTGTTAAAAACTCACCTTCTTGTCTTAAACGAGGCACCTTGGTTTCAACAAGTCGCTTTGGAGAGTTTTCAGATCTCATCTTCTTGACTAAAAATTGGTAAAAGGCACCTTGGTGAGTTTAGCAGCTTGCCTTCTTATCTCATGTTTAGACGTTTCCGTACTTGATCTAGATCTCTAGGCCTACACTACTTCGTTATAGATACTGAGCCGAGTAGTATCGCGTAATACTAGTCTAGGGGTCTAAAATCTATAGACATCTTCTATAATTAAATAAAAAGTAGCCTAGTCTATAGACTAGTCGACTATACTAAGATAACTAAGATTTCAACATCTTTTCTAGCTTTGCTCATTATTTATAATATAATATTAATAGCTGGTTTGTAGGTCTATTGCATGTAACTTACTTGTCTTATTTGGAAAATGTCTCTTTTCCCTGTGTGTCTTATCGTTGACTTCGAATGTGCATCTTGCCTCGCTCTCAGGCTGGCCTTGTTTAGCGTTGAATACAGAGCTTTTGAAGTTCTCTCCATGATGTTTCCGCTCTGATTTACACCAATCCTGCAGCGGACTCAGCTCCACAGCACACCATGATTCGCGCTGGTTATTCATCTCGTAGTTTTTCTGGGGATCCATGGTGATTTATTTAGTGTTTTTAGACAAATGGAAGAATGAAACTGAAGCAGAATTAAACAGTGTACTACACCTCAAGAATTGTTAGAGTTGTCTATTTCTTTCGGCAGCAGCAGCATTTGTGTCCGGTACAGTATCGCGTCGCCAACGTACGTACACAAACAATGCACGTGCGAAAGTCAGCTGTGTATGTAAACAACAATGGTTTGTTTAGCGGTTGACCCGTATGCCTAGCAACAGACAGCTCCCTCTCCGTGAGCTGATGTGACAACACAAGAAGCTCCGCCTACTCTTCAGATTCATTAGCTCAAGTGCAGCTCCTCAGAGATCAGCGACCGAGGCCCATGGCCACATCCAGGCGCGGATCCAAGATTTCTTAAAGGGGGGGGGGGGGGGGGCAATCGCATCTCCAAAAAAAGGGTAAAATTAACGTGTTTTTACACATTCCCCCCCCCCCCCTGGATCCGCCACTGGCCACATCTTTATATTTGGTATCTCGCAAAGTGTTTTAAATGTCACATCCGGTGTAAAGTGATCATCACATACCAGATTTTTTTTTTGCAAGGTATTTGTTTCGGGCTTTTTTCAAAAATGAAACTCGGAAATTAAGAGAAGAAACGGAAAAAAAAAAACATACCAGGCACCAAGAACGAATTGACAAAATCTGACCTACATTGATTGATTGATTGATTGATTGATTGATTTTTTTTTTTTATTCGACAAGCTTCCAACATACAATAATAACAGATCAGAAATAAGTCAGCTTGAACAGGATAACCCACGAAAGCTCGAGAGCTTATTTCCAGTGGGGTCCCTTACAGACATATATAAAATGAATAACTTAAAATAGTATACAAATATACACTGCCTTGAGAGGTTCTGGTTAAAACTATGCGCAAGAGGTACTTCTGGAGTCACCGAGGCCCATAGTTTAACCAGTACCTCGAATAGAAGGCATGTTATATTTGTTTTATATCCTGCATCAAAATGTATTTAAAAAAAAAAAAAAAAAAAAAAAAAACATTTAGAACAAAAAAAATGTAAATTTTTATCTAAAAAGATTTAAAATATTTTGTTTTCATATTATTGAGATTTGAAAAATAAAATTGATTCAATTCAAAAAAAAATTTCAATTTTTTTTTTCAACTCCCAAATAGTAAACCAAAATAGTACTCTCATATAGTACTTTCTAAAAAATAGCTTAAATATTTCTGGTCATGTGACGAGCTCTCAACCAATCAAAAGCCAACAAATTTTTGATGCAGGATATAATAATAATTATTTACAGACAGATAAGAAAAATAAAAGAATTACTTATTAAAGATAATAATAATAACAACATTAAACTGATGATAGAAATGATAATAAGTACAAGAAGAAAAAGAAGGAGAAGAAGAAAAAGAGGAGAAGGAAGAAAAGGAAAATAATGATGAATTTGTAGAATTTCTATAACGTACGAAAACATAAGTATATACAACATGAAAAAGAATGAACCGACAGAAGAATACAAATTTCAATCATATAACATGTCATTCACTTCTCTTCTCTGACTGTCAATTATTAAGTATTCCTTTAATTTCCTCTTAAAATGATCATAGTTTCCTATTTCTTTTATACCATTGGGAAGGGAATTCCAATGTTTTATGGCATTGTAATAAAACGAATTTTCCAATGCTACTCTTTCTGGTAAGTTAAAGTTGAATTTCTTGTATTATAATCATGTACGTCAGTAACAAGATCGAAGTTGGATCGAATATAATGATTCGACCTAGTATGATATATTTTATGCACGTGATGCAATACGAGTTGTTTTGATCTTTGGTCGACTTCAAGAAAACCAGCTTTAGAAAGTTCACTGTAGCCAACATGGGTTCTTGGACCAGAACAGTTGATAAATCTCACCATTTTGTTCTGTATAATCTTCAACTTCTTTTGATCTGACTTGTTTATGTTACTATACCATGCAGGGTTAGCATAGTCAAATAAACATTGAATAAGAGCAAAACAGAGTGTACGTCTTGCTTTTAAATCCATACAACTTTGATATCTGTACAAAAATTTCAGACGAGAATTTGCTTTTTTTACAACTGATTCTACTAAAGATGAAAATGAAATTGCGCTAGCCAACTCAATGCCTAAGTACTTTACAGACTCTTTTCTCTTGATTTCTTGATTATTGTGTGTCACTTTGAATTCAAATGACTTTTTAGAACTACTTTTAGAACAAAATAAAATGCTTTCTGTTTTTCCCAAGTGTAAAGAAAGCTTATTATCAGTCATCCAATCGACACACGTAGACAGACACGTTCAGGCGCGGATCCAGGATTTCTTAAGGGGGGGGGGGGGCAATTTTTTTTTTTTTTTTTGCTCCCGAAAATTTGAAAAATCGCATCTCCAAAAAAAGGTAAAATTAACGTGTTTTTACACATCCCCCCCCCCCCCCCCCTGGATCCGCCACTGGCCACATCTTTATATTTGGTATCTCGCAAAGTGTTTTAAACGTCACATCCGATGTAAAGTGATCATCACATACCAGATTTTTTTTACAAGGTATTTGTTTCGGCTTTTTTCAAAAATGAAACTCGGAAAGAGAAGAAACGGAAATAAAAAAACATACCAGGCACCAAGAACGAATTGAAAAAATCTGACCTACATTGAAATTATCGATCTTACATTTCGCTTGCCTTATCGAGCTCCCTAGGCTTATATAATATCGTCACTCACTTCTGTCTTCTTTTTTTTCTTTCTTCCTAATGAACAATTACTCCCCGTCAACCGTCAAATAACTTTTTCCTGCCCATAACCAGAACCCTGATGTTTTCATTTCAGTCGTCTGTTTACAAATGCAATGTTCTCTATTTTCCCTGCCCATTCTCCCACCTCTCTCTCCTCTCTCCTCTCTCGATCTTGTGATCTTTCTCTCTTCTCTCTTCAGATCTTGTGCTCTTTATTTCTAGATTGTGTGCTCCATTCTCTCTCTCTCTCTCTCTCTCTCTCTCTCTTTCACTCTCTCTCTCAAACGACAGATCCATGATTGGAGATCAAACCTTGGGAGTATATACATAGCTTAAGGGGAAGCAATCAACACCTTTTAATAATCAAATCATTCACTCTTTTAAAACGATCAAAAAGGAGCCAATGATATGGTTCACAAAAGATACCTTTATTCCAACATTGATAATATACATGATAAATTGTTGACATTATATTCATTTTGTTTCGTTTTATTATGTTTTTCCTCAGCAATTACAACTACCAAGCTTAAGCTAAATTATCCAGCAATGCACATGACATCCTCACTTTGAGTTGCACAATATATTAAAAGCATATACTATACACAGGAAATAATACATTCATTACACTTTCATTTCTTTGTGTCAATTTACAATTTACAAGCATTAACAAGATAACTTTAAATGTACATCATACGGTATCTTAGTCATTACAAGTCATTATTTGCAATCATATGATATGTAAAATCACGGTCTATGATGCACTAGCATAAGCACTCAAATGGCTCTATACATAGCCTTAGAAAAGCTTGGTTTTAGATTTTTTGTCTGACGAACAAATTCAATATTCATATTTGGGACATTACTACAATGCAAAGATATTTTGAGTTTAACAATATTGAATCTTCCCACAGCGAGGGGATTGAATATCATTGAATGCTGCATCTTATAATTCTTAAATATCAGTCTTTTTTAAAGATGAAAATGAACCCTTCATGTCATTAAGAATAATTTTTTTAATTTTCTTTGTCTGTGTATGATTAGTTGATGTAAAGTAACATTGTACTATATTTCGTCGGATTTTGAGCTATATAACAAACAATTGTATGTATATATGTACGGTATGGGCGTAAATAAGTATGTAAGAACTAAGAAGATAATCTCCAATGCCAATGGATTTGGGAGGATTTCCCTTTCAAGGTTGCTACCAACACTGTTGCAGAGAGAGAATCATTACATGGTTACATGTATGTCATCTACTGCTTATTCATGTGTGTGTGAAGAAAACCACTTGTGAGGCAAACCAACCTAAACCAACCATGAACGTACTGACATGTGATGTAAGATTGACGTTGATTTATGATAATAACTCGGATGAAATGTAAGATTGTCTTTAATACAGCCCATATCGATACAAGATGGAGAAAAGTATTCAGTGACAGTCTTTACATGTAAATCCATAAACCCTTAAAATTACTTTTCTTCTATATTTTAAGACTTCCTTTCATCACTTTCAGGACAGAAAATAAAGCTATAAGAATTTGATATTTCAGTCTAAAGACTACCTGTGGTAAAACGATTCCTTCAATACACTTATTAATTACTTCATTTGAAATCAATTTGTAACATCTTTGTCTGCTCTTTTTGAGTTTGCAACGGGCCTTAGAATAGAAATCAATGACACATGAGCATCTTATCCACTTTCATCAAGTTAAGCATACATTTATCATCCCTTGGTTTGGAACCTTGGAATTAATCGTATACCACACACTTCCTACACAATCAAAATCAAGCCAAATGTCAACCAATTGGAGTCAAATTGAAGGCAGTTTTACATTCTACTTGTGTTTAGACCAAAATATTTTCATCCATATTAGACCAATATCAAATATTAATTAATAGCTTTTTTATTTCTCAGGTGCTTTGAATTGATCCCTCCAATTGTGCAGTATTAATATAGTTTTAATCTTTATTCAAATACAACAACACCCTGTTTCAAATGGACTACGGTATCCAAAATCTTTGAAAATGTACGATCCATTTCACATTGGTAGTGGTGATTTCACATTGGGGTGGTAGGAATTCTGTTCACTGTTAAAAACTTTTTGAAATTCACACTTGCGGCTGTTTTTATGGATAGATAACAAATACAAATTCTACAGGGTGCCCCAAAAAGAATGCAAAACCTGAGATCTACAAGTTCAACAACATCATAGATTGGTTTCTGTTTTATTGGTTAGAAAAGTAAAAAAGAAACCCAAATCATCAATTTTGGGTAAGGCTATTTGGATTGTAGAGCAGTCATGCCTTTGTCAACACAAGTAAATGTATGGGTAGCCATCATGCGCATATTTCTTGCTGCTTTCGGCAGGAAAACGATAGCAAAATAGCACATTATAAAAATGACATTGCTGCATTTTATGTAATTTTGTGTCTCTTTACTCCAAAAAGAATGTTCTCGCCAATAAAACAAAAAAACAATGACATCAATGACAACTCGGGTGTTGTGTTCTTTTAGAGCCACTCAGTTTAGAAAATTGTATCTGAAGATGCTCCTACAGAAAGGCTTAATAGACCTGGTTGGATATCCCTTGACCCTGCCTGTAGTAGTAGTTGTCTGTCTGTCAGCTATGTATTTACCCATAGCATCATCACCTTTTCAATATAGTATGCATTTATACTACCCCTCTGTAATACTGAAGAAATGAGACCAAATAATCAGATATTAAAACCACGCAGATGTAAATAACATGCACACTAGAGACGGTTATTATTCACATGTACTCCTACATCACTCAAACATACTGGCCCAAATTCCCAAAGGAGGTTTGTCGACAAACCTTGGTTTTCGTGCGTCATTTGACGCGTTTTTACACGTTTTTACAAACCAGGTTTGTAAAAAACATATTTGTCGACAAACCTCCTTTGTGAATTTGGGCCACTATCTACAAACAAATGTGTTGGTATGTTGAAATGTCTATAGCACCATTGACAAACTAGAATCATTTTCCATTATATATTGTCATGTATTCAAGCATCATACTATAGGTAATGCACATGTTATGAGCTAGGAGGGTAGGTTATATACAAGAGGTTTTTCATAAAGGATATGCTGCAATATAACTTGCATAGAATTGCCGAAAGTATATTCATCATATCATCATCACTTTCTTTTGAAATAAGTTGCACATTGTAAAAACTCACAAAATACTACTTGTATGGTATACTAGTACATTGTATTTTGCTTTATCTAGCAATAATTTATCATAACCAGTTTTCAGAAAGTATAATCACATAGGCAATACCTAATCATGCCCTCTTACATATCCCCCCCCCCCCCCCCAACGTCTACCTAACAAAATATTATACTATGCTGAATGATAGAACTGTTCTTTTAATAAACTTTGTGAACATTACATTTGGTGATTGTCATAGCATTCCTATCTTTACAACTATAAAAAAGACAATGGCACATCTGTTCAAAAACTAAAATAAGGTTAAAATCAGGTTAAATAAACTTTGAAAGAATTTTTAATTGTGCTCTCTCACTCAAGCCCAAAGATTAAACTGCACGTACCAGTATAAAATACTGAGGGCTGATTGGCAGGGAACTGGATTACTTACAACAAAACAATTCCTTTAAGTACCTTGCCCTCTATATGCTTATAGCAACAGGGATCTCCACAGAAGAGTTCCAGACATTACATGTTCATTACAACAAGTATCATTATTCCAAACAGAGCTACATCTATGTTTGGCCTTTTTCTATTCCTGATGCTCCTACATGTATCTAGCCAGTGAAGTTACTAAAGTTCATTTTTAACTTGATGCTAGGAGGAGCTGAAGTCTTGGGTCTAGATGGCTGTCTTGAAGACTGCTTAGCCTTGTTGGAGGCCTGGTTAGCATGGATAGCTGTCTCTAGTTTGGTCTTGAGGTCCGGAGAGGCAGCCATGACACTCTTAAAGGCATTAGGATACTGATGACCTGTCTTGATGAGACGTTGAAGGACGTGATCATGCAAGGCTCTTGATTGTTTGGTCTGTTGTTGCTGGCTGGTGGAGGTGTCACCCCCAGAGAAGAGGTAGCTGATGAGGATTGGTACCAGCAAGGCCACCATCTGCACTCCTGTACAGGGATGAGGAGATGATGAGATAATAATAATGATAAAACAATAAGCAGTGGCGCTTCACACTCAATTCAAACTGACTTGATTTCAATTACAAGATCGAGCATGTGATCTCTATTTACTGGGTGCAAGCCAAACAAATTTTTTACAACAATTGAATCTTCTCCCAGGGAGTCTAAAATTCAAAGCAAATCAAACTGATTTTACATACCGGTACAATAAATCAAATTTGTCATGTTTTCTTTCCTTTACCCTGGGTTTTCTGAATAACTTTCATAATTATCTGGTGAAAATGCTTATTCTGCTTCCATATTTCAGACACCCCAAAAGCAAAAGCACAATATCAGATGTAGGTAATAGCAATACAGATGCAGAACCATGGAAATGATCTGACAGAAAGAAATGTATCTGAGATATATTTTGATACCACACCTATATTGAATCCTATCTGTGCCAGCATGATTAAAAACTTTTCGGACTTCCCCCAAACAGGATTCCAAGCAGAGGCAGCCATGACATTTTGGATGGCTCAGTGGTAGTGCAGTGGTCTCATAACCAGAAGGTCCCTGATTCAAAACCATGTTGATGCGCTAGTGCCCTTTGGTAAGGCATTAATTCTCATTACCAAGTCCCTCTGAGAGGACTCAAAGTCGTTGGTCCCCTGGTTGCCTACTTACAAGCACATGCTCTCTTAGCAGTCAGGTAAAACCAACCAACCAACCTACCAATATTTCATTGACCCATCTTAATTTACTAATAAAAAACATCCTTTCTGCTTTTACAGGATAAAGAAGTAGAATGTTGGCAAGATTTAGCACCTCTGGCACCCTCAGGGGTTAGTACCATATTGTGTGTTCAGAGCTACAAGTGGAAGGGCATTAATAATGACAATAATAGTGGATTCATGTATAGCGCTCATGTCGGGCAAATTGACACTTCATTACTTTATAAGCTGGAATTTTCGCGAGGGTTTTATTTTCGCAAATTGCATTTTATCGCGAATTTATCAACACGCCAAAATATTGCCACCTCATCAAATCTTGATCGCCAGCTGACTGCTTGTATATACGTATTGCTGTCGCCTCCTGCCCAGCGTCTTACTTCTCTCCCCGTGCATATGTTTGCCCAGATTGCACGAAGTACGCATGTAATCCTCGTACAGAACAAACGTGTGTACTAATACATGTACTGAGTCTGTGTGTGTATATGTTGGCGTGAGATCGAGAACATTTATGAATACATCAAGCCCAATCATTGATTCTGCTGTTTGCTATTCTCGAAAGCAACGACTCGCAAAAATGTCTCTTAGCCTGTCATTCTCGACAATATCTGTACGCGAAAAATATCAGCTTATACAGTATTATTATCCTGGTTTTTAAAGGAATTATTATTTCCAGCTGGGTATTGATTTACCTCACCTAGGTGTAGTGTGGCAAATGTTGATTAATGTCTTGCCAAAGTACATTAGTGCTGCAACAGGGATTTGAACCCGCACCTTGTGTTTCATAGTCTGGAAACTTATCCACTGGACCTCAACACCTCTACTTTAACTCATATACTTATAACTTATTGCCCTTCTGGCTCACAACAGAAAGGAATTATGGCATAATGAAATAAAAACTATTTAGATTAATCAACAATCTAATCTCCTTGACTTACTATGGGATTCATCGGTTAAGCCAACCAGTATTTCCAGAACACGTATTGATTCAATGATAACCGCCACCGATTCATCATTCTGGGGTATGTTACCAGCAGTGGATTGTAGGTACTCTACCAGTCTTGGGCCCAGGGCATGGATGTAAGGTGTGGAGACATCATGGTGTGGACACTGAAAGATAGACGCTGCCATCTGAAGACACTTCAACTTCACCTGAAGACAACCACAATAGAATGAAAGTCTTGGATGAATTACATTATAATACAATATTAGTAGAGATATAGCATTCTTAAATAATTTTCATCACATGTTTTTACAGATGAAATAGTTGTCTTTTGGAAATAAAATGCCTTTATTCTGTCTTCCACAGATAGAAATGATGTTGAAAAATCTACAATTTGAAGAAGAAAAATGTGTAAAATATACTAGGCGAATTTGAGAAACAAAGGTATTTAACATTATTCTATAACCAGTTACTAATATGATTCTACAAGAAATTAAAAAGTACAATCATCAAAACCTTATCAGAAATAAAACTCTTGAGATATCATAGATAATAAGCGTAAATGTTTCCCCTCTTTGTGGTATACCCAAGATAATCATCAACAGAAGACACCAAGAATATGCTACATATATAACCCCAATGAAATGACATACCACAGGGTCTTCTGATTTGAGTGCTTTAGAGAAGAGATCAACTCCCTGAGCCTGAAGAGATGAGACAGCTGAGACAGAGGGAGGAGCTGATGCTATGAACACTGCCACAGCTAACAGAACACTGCACATATCAACCTCCATCTTGTCTTTGTCTGGATTGGCAATCAGAATAATAATATGTAGCTATTATTTAGGAGTGCTAACAACAAAAAGTACCACAGCACTTTCAAAGTTTCAGAGTTGGAAGAGAAACATGAAATACATAGACTCCTAACATAGGTAAATTGCATTATGTTACTGAGAGAATTAAAATGTTTTAAGGGATCTTTTGAAAGCGGCAATTTGAATTACCTCTTTGAATTACCAGATACCAACATTTAAAAAGTCCACTCTACACCATAGTATTGCACATACATGAGTAAACAGATACACCAACATTTGTCCTCAAGATCTGGGATTCATACTCCCACTTAATCCATCTTAATCCCTTGTGCCAATTGATCATCTATTAAAGGGCAATAGTATAGTCCTGAGGTATTCATCACACCCATAAGTTCAGATGCAAAGCAGTAAATGCAGCAGTTCTTTTTTATAACGTTTAAATGAATGGCATCTGTGTGCAACAAGGGATGTAAGCATATTTACTGATATCTGTAATACAAAGATACAGTAAATGTAAGGCACATTACACTTACATCATCATAACACATCCCCCAGTTTACTGAGTCTTATCTTCATTTCATGCGTACACTTCTAGTACATAGAGAAAATAATGAGAGCTGAAGCCACTTTCTTGAAACCATCATTATAAACGGAAATCTTCTAGGAATACATAATACAGAATTAACATGCGTTTTAATGAGATATTCACTGCCTTAGATTCATGAAAGTTTTGAGAAGTTGGCCCGGCCTGTAAAGCTGCTCAGTTAGTCACCTGGGTTGGAGTAATCGAGGATAGTAGCCAGGGTACTCTGAAGAAACTTCTCCCAATCATTAGCACATCTAGGATCCTTGACAAAGGAACAGGTAGCCAGGGAACGCAGGGCCTGCATACACGATGTGACCGTTGGAGCACTCTTACCATCAAGAGAGGGCTCGGCCGTCTCCCGAAGGACGTTGGTTGTTAGGCAGAGGATTGTGGGTAATACTGATACGCTTCCTGCAGGATACAAGGTCAACTGGGTTAGCAAATACATTTAATTCTCGCTACCCTAAATAGGTACGAAAATCTCGAAATTCGCGAGACGAGGTAATTTTCACTCTCTCGGGTCGTCACTACAACTTCCGGTATAGAGTCCCATCCCGCTGGCGCTAGCGCCTGTGTTCGCTGTGCAGAGTTTTCACGCACGCTAAAATCGATGCCAATCAGTGTAATTTGTACAGATTATAATATGCAATGGAAAGCTTCGGGCAGAATTAGTGACTTTAGCACAAAAGGCCGTTAAACTCTACCGTGAAAGAGAGGGTTGTGATCACGAACGCCTGCACAGGAAGCTGTAATGTCGAAAAGCTATCCCATAATGCAATGCGCGTTTTCAGGATTTTCCCCGGATCTCGGCAGAATCGCTATTTGGGGTAGCGAGAATTGCCTGAACTCTCAATTACCCAAGTTAAGAATATTACCAATTGTTCACATATACATGTATTTGGAAATAAACTATAGCCATTTCATTTTGTTTCATAACCATCTTTAACATGTTATCTTTAATTTTGAATAGCTGATATGGGCACTCAGTAGTGAGCCATTTTTGTCCATCATCTCATGTCTAACATCTAAACACATTGTTTAAGCTTTGAGTTATAAATCAAGGTATATCGTCTTAATAACTATTCTTTTATTTAATTAGTGCTAATAATGGATCCCAATCACGTGGAAAATATTTTCAACTGTCCTGATGCAACATCCTTCAATAGTTAGCTAACCGGATGCAATGAAATGTAAAGCAGCCCTTCTCAAAGGTCCTATCTCCCCTTCAGTCAACTCTCTACCACAACCATTTCAAGATTAAATCCCATGGGAAGTATCTTAGAGGATCATCTACCGAGTACCAAAGAAGTCGGGTGAATCTTCATATCGCATTCTTAGTGCTGCCTTTGAGAAATGAGAAAACAGTGCACTACAGAGGAACCTTATACTGTTGTCCCTTTTGAATGAAATAATTGATCCTAAATATCTTTCTTTCATTTGAACGGATGAAATCAAGAGGGTTACCTGCTGGTGAGCAGAGTGAAATGAGAAGGTTACCTGCTGGTGAGCAGAGTGAAATAAGAGGGTTACCTGCTGGTGAGCAGAGTGAAATGAGAAGGTTACCTGCTGGTGAGCAGAGTGAAATGAGAGGGTTACCTGCTGGTGAGCAGAGTGAAATGAGAGGGTTACCTGCTGGTGAGCAGAGTGAAATGAGAGGGTTACCTGCTGGTGAGCAGAGTGAAATGAGAGGGTTACCTGCTGGTGAGCAGAGTGAAATGAGAAGGTTACCTGCTGGTGAGCAGAGTGAAATGAGAGGGTTACCTGCTGGTGAGCAGAGTGACGGTAGCTCAGCCATGATGAGGACTGTAGCTGAGATAAGATGACTAGCTTCATCAGATAGTCCTGCATTCTTAGAGTAGCTATGTATAGAAGCTGCACTGGCTCCTCCTGATGGGTTGAGGGCGGGCAGCTGCCTGACTAGGATGCAGAGACACACCTCTAAGGTAGCAAAGACCACCGACTTGCCAGGGACCACCTCTCCACTTGTCCCACCTTCACCGATGTCAGAATCCCAGTCTAGGTTCTCCTTCTCATTCTCAGACTTCTCCTTGTTTTCAATACTCTCACCTAGAGGATGAAAAGATTGGAAACTGACTCTCCTCTTGCTAGTGCCCAATGCAGACTGTTCATTGGCACACACACTTTCAGTCTGACATATCCAGGACTTTTCTTACAGCTTCCTGGTTCACAGTGAAAGCATACAGACACTTGTACATTTAAAAGCAGGTACTTCACACCATAACTTTAGTGATCCACACTGCATGCATTAAAATAAATATTTCTAAACAATTAAAACAAGAGAAACAACATCCTATTAAATGAAGATGACTTTCATGGTCCACAAGTAAAGAAAACAATCAGGATGAGGTTCAAAGATCATATCATAATAAAGCAAAACAGCAATTCTTTTTTTACATATGACTAGTCTCCCATATTCACATCAATCTATTTAGTACCATGATCAAAGTGTAATCTATAAAATTCTACTCTTCACCTATCATGCACTAAATGATCTAGCTCCAGAATATATTTCATCCCTTCTATCACCCCACTCCGCAGGTCGTTTTGGTTTATGTTCATCACATAATGTTAGGCTTAAAGAAATACGTACCAAAAGAAATAGGGGGATAGAGCATTTGCATCAGCAGCTCCTTATTTGTGGAATAAGTCACCTTTCTCTATTCAGACTGCCAACACGCTTTCAACTTTTGAAATTGGGCTTAAAACTAACCTGATGCTTAATGCGTAATGCATATTGTTAAATTTCAATGTTCTCTTTATACAATGCATGCCAAACAAATAATCACACTGTGCCACATTGCATGTACCATGGCATCATGAAGATGTGTGATCTATAATGCAAGTTAACATTTAATATTTCTTTAATATTAAGTATGTTGAATTCCTGATATAAATTTCAATCATTTGTATGCGCCTTGAGCATCTCTAGAGATGGATATGTTGCGCTTTATAAATATTGTTATTATTATTATCATTATCCCTAAACTAATGGAAATATGATCTTATGAGCCCATTCTTCTCACCTTTGACCTTGCGTTGTCCCTCTATCTTCTCCTGCATGGCTTTAATAACCTGCTTGACCACACTGATGACCTGAAGGTGAGTGGAGAGATTCTCTCTGGTCAGCAGTAGACGATGCAACACATTGAGAAGCTCTATGGGTAGTGAGGGGTCAGCGACGAGCTGTCTTCGAGGCCAGAGGTCATCCAGGAGGGTATGGATGGCTTGAAGACAGGATGAAATGTTCTGAAGGGGCTCGGTGGCACGGTGATTAGACAGATTCTCAACACAAACACCTAATTGTAAGTACAGAGAACGACAGATTGGTATAGTTGTAGTCATGAATGCTGCTCATATATATCACTAAATACAATAATGATCATAAACATGCATTAAGTTTTGAAATAATACACTAAATTACAATGACAATTTATTCAGCTTTCCCTCCTTATAAATATTCTGGCATATACACTCCTGTCACAAACTGGTCGCAAAAGTGATGTTCAGAAATGATGATGACGATGCTAGTGATGGCGCTTTGTAACTGCAAGGAAAAGGCACTATATCAAATATCTTTTGGATTGGATTGAATAAGCTTCTTTGTCATATATCCTTTCACTTCCCAGAGATGCCAACCCTATAGGATGGCTGTCAGTAACATTTACCACATTTGTCCGTAACAAATGGGGGTCTTTCCGTAACGCAAGACACCGCAGCATAATTTTCGCGCAAAATGTACACAAACACCCAATCACTCTTACTGCATTTCGAACCTACCATTTTTAAGTCAAAAATAAAGATGTGCATAAAAACATTTTTTTTAAATCTGTTTGCAGTCAAAGGATCTCCTCTTTGGGTACTCGCTCTTTTGAGTGAATCCATGATAATATTCAGGAAGAAAACACCTTGTTCAAGCGTCGAACGGCAAATTCAAATCCACAGTCAAATGGCAGAACTCGTATCCTACACACGCACACGTACACTCACCAGTACCACAGACACACCAGCCCAGGCCGCTAGGCCCGGCGTTCATGAACAACAACACACCGTATACCGCACTTGCAATGCGCCCGCTGAATCACCGAAGTCTTCGCTACTATAATACTGTGAATGGGTATTGCGGGCGCCGCACGCACGATCATCCACCACCATGCTCCCCCAAAATGCACGACCACACGTAGTATACTAGTATCAAAACAGTAATGACGGCAGCCGTGTTGTTTTGGAATTATTAAACAAGATGGCGGCTGAAGGACTATGGGTGTGAAAGTGCCTATCCAGTGTAGTCAAATTCAGTGAACTTATGAGTAATTGCGTGCGACATGCAGCGCTGTGTACGGAGGCATGTGATAAGGCGGTATTCGCTATAATGTAATTTTATTTATCGTTTCCCTGTAACCTTTTGATTGTTTACCGTAACGCCGTAACAAGAGCATTAAAACCGTAACAAATACGGAGAAACCGTAACGGTTGGCATCTCTGCACTTCCTTATGAAAATACTTCATGACAAGTCAGAATAATTTTTATTCATCTGTGATCTGCGCAATGCCTTATTACCAAGATTAATATACAAATAATACACAACAGAGAGGGCATTAGTTAGACTTTTTCAAAGGTGCCGAGTGTGGGTAATTTTATAATGCCCGTACAAAATGATGTGTATTATTTGTTTTTATAAAATTATGACTTGGATCCTTGTTATTTGATCAATATCACCCTCATATCAAACTCAAAGGCCCGAATTCACAAAGGAGCTTTAAATCTATTGGTTTAAATCCACATTTACATAACCCATGGTTTAAAATATGCGCAAATTGAGGCGTACCTTGCCTTGCGTGCATCTAATATTGGACATCTGACTTGTGTCGCACTTATGATAGCAGCAACAAGCTAGATGTGTTAATGACCGGTCATTACCCAAATTACGCGTTAGGCAAAATAAATGCCTGGTCACATGTACGCTTTCAACCAATTATTTGATTAGGAATTAAGTCATCATCTTATGATTGACTATAATCCTGAGTACGCAACAATTTGTCATCCTTACTGCTTTGAATTGTATTGAGGAGGGTTTTGATAGCATGTTACCTCTAATAACATATGGAATGAGATACTCCTAGCATAATGCTCAGTCATGTTTAGTTTTTTTTTAATATATAAGAAAGTGAAAAAAACATGTCCACAATGAAATGTTAAGTAAAGTTGGAGCTTACCAATCATAAGGTGGAAGTAATCACTCTTGATTTCTTCTGGTTTCTTCATGGAGGCAGCATTACCAGTAGGTATGACAGCCATACCTGGTAGCATAGGACCACTGTTAGCTGGACTGGTATAACTACCATCACTGTTTTCTTCTATCACCTGGAACCCTCCAGCATCCAGCCACAGCGCTGCAGCGTAGACGATGGGAGCCCAAGCCTTGAGGTAATGGGGCCTGGTGGTGGAGGTGGCTTCCGCATTGTAGAAGGCACCGCCCTCTGGAGGTAACTGACTGGTGAAGTCTTCCGGTAAGGCCAGCAGGGCGTGGTCCCGCAGAGCAGCTAACCAATACTTGTTGAGAGATTTGAGCTCAGGCTGGACCAGGGTCAATAGACTGTCTGAAGGTTTCTCTGTGGAGTAGTCCTCTCCGTTGGTATTAGAGTTACTAGAGGGTGACATGTACTGCTTCATGGCTACTACGTATACCTGAAAGAGAAATCAAATCAGTCAGGAATAGCAAAGAGAATGAGAGGAAGTCTTGGTCATCTCAGGATGAAAACTAAAGCTATACAACATTGCAATTGAATATAATATTTCTCCTGGAATACCCTGTCCCTTGGAATAAACCTTTAGCCGTAGCTCATGTACTTCCATTCACACGATCCTATTATTACCATCGAAAACATACTTCTTTGGATCAACTTTTTAGTGGCAAAATCATAGCATTTGTGTCTCTTTAATAAGTGCTGCTACTTTCTCTTTCATTCATTACATAATAGAAATCACCATCCTACAAATATTTATAATGAAGAAGACGATCAATTAAAATACTTAAGAGTCATTGCATGCTTCAAAGAGCATCCTGATCTCTAATATTTTGCATGCCATGTTTGCGTGGGACTGTACCTCGGACCAGGCCTTGATGACAGCCAGTTTCTCCATGGTGAATGCACTCTCACTATAAAGCTGCAGGGGGGCGCCCTTTCCTACTTTCAGCTTGTCCAGGGACGATACAAGCAGCTGATGAACTCTACGCAGGTCATTGAGTTCATGTGCTACCCCACTGCCAATCCACGCACTAGCAACCTGCATAATCAATAGCACAGAGGGAAAATATGATAAAACCTTCACTGATGAGACTCACAGATTCTGAATGTACTAAATGTGTCAAATAACCTACATGAACTTCATTTTTCCTCTTCCTCCAAGTCAAACATCTACAGACAACAATCTTGATTTATAATTAATTATGTACTAACAGAACAACTGCATCTATGAATGCAAAGTTGACATGCATGTTCCAATTGTCTGTTGTACATGTACTGAATATAACAGGCTATGATAACTTGTTTGACAAAGTCAAAAATACCATTAAAACCTTAAGAGGACAGCAATTAACTTTTATTTGAATGTATGTTTCGCAGGGGAACTATGGCAGACAAGTTTCACCATACTTTCCTGTAGTCTTCTCTTTCCTACACTCAAATATGTACACATCAAACTGTATATTATCATCATTGGTATTTTATATTAATAGGTCATTTAAAAAATAATTACAAAATTTGAAGTTGAAGCAAAAATACAAATTATAGCACATATAAAATAAGTTTCACACATTTTGTTGTTGATGTATACTACATATTAGAACATGGAGCCATCTACAGGATATCTGACATATAATGCATGGTTGTAAATACCTGACATGCCATAGCAGTGACATCAGATGGGGTTTCTGAAGAGAAGGCTGGTCTCAAAGCAGCACCCACCTAATCATCAAAACAAAGCATTTTATCATAAACAAGATGGGTTTTTAAAAAGATCAGTCAAAAACTTATTTTAGGAAGTCCTGCAACCATTATATTTCTTTTCTTTACAGACTTGGAATACATTGTTTAAGTTTTCATTAACATGCATCTAGACATTGCTCCAGTATTCCAGTATTATTTCCTGCATTAGTGATAACAATTTTAAAAAAATAGAAATTGAGGGTTGGCCTTATGTATTTATTCATTTCTTTATTTATTGTTGTTGTTGAGAAAGACGAATCCCCTGATGTACTACTTGGGCTAATATGCTTTAGTCTTAAGTATCTAGGTTCATCATACCACTCCTAGCATCTCTTCTTTAAGGTTGCTTTAATATAAAAAATTCATCCAAACTGTTCTAGTCAGCAAGATAACTAACAAAAGAGAACACTACAATTTTCTGTTCAAAAATGACATTAGTTGATTTAAAAGTCATCTTTACTCATCACAGTCAGTAAAAAAAATTCTGTAACAAAATTCCTCTTTGACATTCACTTAAAGCTGTTTCAAATAGTGCGAACATGATATCTATGCACTGTCACTTTCTTTGAAAAAGAAAAGTAGCTTTAATAATGATAATAATAATAAATAACGATAGATAATGGATATATAGATCCTTTTCCAGAGGAAACTAGACGTTCTCCCTTAGTCAACCATCATATAAAGAATTGTAGAGGTATTGTTTCAGATGTTTTTTGAAGGAGCCACATGAAATATTATTTCTCACAAATGCAGGGAGTTTTTTCCATAGATGTGGGGCAATGGATTGAAAGGGGTTGAAGCCAGCCTGTTTTCTGTACTTGGGGATGAAAATGGAAGATCAAAGTGAATTGGTGTTCTCTGTGGTTGAGGGGCTTTGAGGAGGTTCCACAGAAATTTTTATGTGCACCTCAGCTGTGCAGGACCAGCTGATCATGTATTTACTGATTACATGATTCCGGGGAACTCCAGGCATTGTGCTTGCTGAATATATAACCAGTTCAGTTCAGTTCAGTTCATTTTATTCAAAACCACACAAAACATGATATAATCTTTAACATAAAAAAAGACTGGTAATAGTACATCAATCAACATATTTTAACTTGATTACATCATAAACTGAAGGGTTTTAGGACCTCTTTAGAAGCTAAGCTTGTGAGCCAGCTGGCCCTGCGCAGTTAAGGTATGCACAAACATTTCTGCTGAACCTCCTTAAGATGACGTACCTGTGCTTGGTATTGTTCCATGATGTAATGACCAGGAAACTCTGGTTCAGGTACCCTAGCAAACTGCTTGATGATATCCTGAAGCAGGAGTAGACCTGCTTTCCTCAGTTGGTTACTCTCTGATGTAGCAGCAATGAATGCTGTACGCACCAGGTCCGACAGATGCAACACTAGGTAGTTGTCTGTAAAAGAGTTTCCAAGTATGATGATTATACTTCCATAATTTCAATGCAACTCATATTTTACCCGACAAGATTTGTGAGTTAAATGACATCAATCAGCTATTTTTCACCTACTGACAGAACTATAACATTGGCAGATACATGTACTTAATTGTATATGGAACATGGTTCCTCAAGTGGTCAAAGCCAGAAATACATGATTGTGTGGAAGAATATTGTACTCCATGCCATATTCTTTAGCCACTATCCTTACTTGTAACAATGCCAGTTGTTAATCCAACTAATATCTAAGTCAAGTAACCTGGGATGTCCATGAAAATGGCTAATGAATAAGTATATCTATTGTTGACATACCTGTAATACAACTTTGAGGCAACGCCATACAAAATCAAACTCACTTGTAGTAGTCTTGACTCTCATCTCCCTTGCTAGAGCTACGTCAAAGTGTACCGTGTTACCATCACAGATCTGAATGACACGACGCACACTCTCTGCTGCAAACACTCTTGTAGGCCATCTGGGAGGGACTGAACACATCACAAAAACAGCAAGTTAAACCTCTGTATTATGAGACGGTAGCCTGCTTTAATCTACCAAGAGATGGAATAGGCTACACACAAATGATTTTTTTTCTTACAAATGTTGAGACTGCTGACACTCTATATGTATCATTCCAAACTTTAGGAGTCATTTATTTCACTCTTGCCGTCTAAATTATAGTTTGTGGGAAACTAGCATTTCAATCTTCAAATTGGCAACACATCCATGTACATGTAGATACAGATTGATGCAAATCAAGTATTTTCTATGAAAGTGGCAAACATTACTTCGCACTCCAAATAATTACCAGATGAATACATGAATAATCTAAGCACTATGAAACAGTTACTGTAAGAGTGTTATATACCTGTAAATGCCAATATTGTTTTTAATGATATTGATTTGTAAACGGCCTTTAATCATTACAGAATATTCAACTAAATTTCTAATTTAGAAAGAAGTTGATTGGACTATTCTCTACCTGTTGGATGAGTGTCAATCTTGTCAGGAGCTTTAAACGTTGCAACATCTTCATCCATTTTAGTCTTCTCATCATCCACCTCAATCTCCTCCCTTGACTTGTTTGGTGTCGGCATGGAATCAGAATCTACGATCAAAATCAACAACCACTTTTAGTATTCAACAAAATAATGAAGAGCTTCATTCCAAAAGAAGCTTAATCGATTTATATAAAAATTGAGTTTTGTCTTTAAATACTTATTTCCTACATGGGAATAAAATGCACTATATCACATTCTGAAATTTATCTAGAAATATTTTTAAAAAACATCAGCTACAAAATATTATGTTTATATCAAAAAGGAGCTAAATCCATGAAAAAAAAACTATTCAAAAATTCAGCAAAAATAAAAGAATACTTGGTAGATTTTTTAAAACCATATACATGTAATATTGGTCAAGGGGAACACCTGGAACATATATCCAAAGATGTACATACATTCGAAAATACGCAAATTGGATTTAGCTCCTTTTACAATTAAACTCTCCAAATATAAATCACTATTTTGTGCAAAAACATCATACAGCAGTGTTCTAATGTATGGCCCAAGTGGCGGTATCTTTCATCAAATTTGATGTAACTCCAACAACAATGGGAACATTAAAAATTAAGTGACTTTTATCAGTCATTTAATAAATATTTCAATCAAAAGTTTACATGAAACTTGCCACACATGAATTAAAAATCCAGTGGAACCTGTATAAAGACTGCTTTATGGACAGGTTCTTTTAGTACATGTCTCAATAAGAAACACAACATAAGGGAAACAGACAATGGGTTCTTTATAGACATGTGATCTTTCTATACAGGTGATCACAAAAGCTGGGCCCTGTTTGATAAAAATTGTTATTAATTATAAGTTACAATGAATGTTAATAAGCTATCAACATTGTGGCATTTTATGAAACAGGGCCCAGGTTTGATTGTACATAAATTTATCATCTACTGAGAGAGAGAGAGAGAGGTAGAGAGGGAGAGGTGAGAGAGAGAGAATAAGGAACCAACCTGTAGAAGCTGAGAGGACAGCCTTAGAGAGAGTAAGCCATCCTGCTAGGTTCTCCATCACTAGTTCATGTAACATACTGATTAATGTATCATGAATATTGGATAACATCTTAGCATCGGTCTCATTGTTTAGCATGGTGAAGAGTAGACCTTCCAAACCCGTTTCTGAAATAAAGAGAGTCATTCAAATCATATTTCATAATAGCTTTTAATCTTATATAGTGGCACATAGATACATGTATGCAAACTGGATTTCACTTCACACTCAAGAAACATGTGTTCTCTAAAAGTTGAAGTACTATTTGTGAATATATCATACATCATTCAAAAACTGCCATGGTTTAGCACAGCATTAAACAAGGTTTAGCTTCCAACTATTTTCTTCACAAGATGGATGAGATGAATGAGAAGAATACTCACCAGTAATTATTGCATCTGACTTGGCACCTTGTACAGTCACATTTTGTTTCTCAGTCTTAGCCAGCTGTAGGGCATACTCACACACCTCTCTGGCTTCACGTTGGGAGAGCTGTCGTAAACACGCCACCGCTGCACGTCTCAATAACAGATGAACACTTCCTAAAGCAGTCTGAGTCAAAACAACAAAATAATGTTCAGCCATGCTCACTATTAATCAAACCAATATTGAGAAATGCCTTTCTCATAATTATATGATATTTCCAAATTAATACAATCTTGTTTCATTTCTAGATAAGTTCTGAAGCTTATCAATACTTGTATATCCCTGATATGGATAAAATGAATCGGTTGAAATATTTTTCACTTAGATATTTGTACATGGCCCCTACTCGTTTGTACAATCAGCTCCTTCCAATATATTTTAATGGAAAAATAAATTGGAATTGAATTTGAATTGAAATATATAATTTAAAGTAAGTTATCTTAGTAAACAATGATAGAAACAGGTCTTGACTGCCTCCAAACTTCAACAGAAAGTACTAAATAATTACATGTGCACATCATAAACCTGTGATAGATATAACAAACACAAAAACAAAGACTGCGCAAAAAAATCAGGGGTTTATAAAGATGATATAATACATACGACTTACACAAAGATCAGGAACAAGAGTTGATAGATTGACATGACGAGGTGCAAACATGTGAAGCTGTTGAAGACATGCTATAGCTTCTGCTCCAACCACTGAGTCTGGATGATCCTGCATGATAGCACAGGCTACTAAGCACGATGTCCTCGCTGTGGCTATGTTACCTCGATTACCTGATCATCAAGAAACAACAAGTAAGATATACTCTTTTGGGTGTCATTAAGCTCTTTTTATTAAACCTAACCCTACTCTAACCCTAACCTAATTCTAATTACGTATTCATTTATCTAATCAAAGTATTTGGGCCCATTAATATCATCGCAGCAATTAACAGTACATTAAAGTTCAGGAAATATATTGGCATTGTGTCCTATCTCTTGGTTCAATAGACTAAGTATAACAAGCAAGTAGTTGTACAACATGAATTTAAACACCTGACCAACTAGCGCAAGCATTTCACAGTCTCGATTGATCTTAAAGGTGTCAAGATCTTGGAGATAAGTCAAGAACTATGAGTTACAAGGTACAGGGTTGAGTCCTTGTAACATCACTAATTATGTATGCGCCACGTTTAACTACATTTGCAAAAGTCAACCCAGGTAGGATAAATGGGTGCCTGACAGGAATTAATCCCTTAACTCTTTATGCGCCACTTAAAAAACCCCCCTGTGCCACATTCTTTTAGGGTCACACATTTCGAGGGAATCTTTATTGACTCTGCTGAATCAAGAGGCTATAACTCTTCACTGGATGATCATGATGAAAAATATTGTGCAGCAAAGTTGTAGACCGGAAAACGTGCTTTTCGATGAACCGTCATTTGTTATATTTTGAATTATCATTTTTATAATAATCATAATTATATAATGTTTAATTTTTCTTATTTACGGCAGTTTTTTTATCCCTCTAGAATTTCTTATTTAGCAATGATAAGACATCTTCAAATCGAATCTATTAGAAAGGTGGACTTCTTACCTTTCTTTACATACCTTGCTCAAGTATTCTAACAATTCAGAAGGTTAGTATTTAGGTTGTTGAAGAAAAGAAGTTCAATAGGGAGAGACTTGAAAGTACCCCGCTCAGCCACCCTTGACAATGGGCTAATCTGCCCATTGAAATCCCTATTACCCCAGGTTATTGTCAATGTCCGGTTTAGCGGGGCATGAAAAGGGACGTCGTGGGGATGTTTTTCTTTGTTGTGCCATGATAAGTCAATAAGAAATAAGAGAATGTTATTGATTTTGCCCACTGGTATGAGCATGTAAAAATGGTATAGGCATAATATATTATATGTGATATACATGACATAATCAGCATCTTATTGAAATGTCTCATTATGAATGTTCACCGCATCTGTTCTCTCACCTTCTTTACCCCTCAATAAAATTGATTTCAAGTACATTTATCACAGCCATAGATATACAAAGAAAGAATGAATCAATCTTAAAATATAAACTATATTGCATTGTTTTCCATTTACTTTATTGTGAGAGAGCTTATTATCAGAAATGATTGACGAGTGGAGTATGCAATGAATAAAATATGGAGAACGGACGTGAGAGACATTATGAGAGAGAAATAGTGATATGAAATGAAAGGACTTTACTGTGAATAAAGATTATAAGAGAAAGAGATAAAGATGACGGCAAGACAGGATACATATTGATACGAAAATAACAATAATAATGAGATAGAGATGACGGAAAGAAAGAGAGTAAACACTGATAGCATAAGAATGAATAAAGATAATAAGAGAAAGATATAGAGATGACGGCAAGACATAGGGTACATATAGATAGGAAAATGATAATAATAAAAAGATAGAGATGACGGAAAGAAAGAGAGTAAACACTGATAGCACAAGAATGAATAAAGATAATAAGAGAAATATATAGAGATGACGGCAAGACATAGGATACATATTGATAGGAAAATAATAATAATAATAAGATAGAGATGACGGCAAGAAAGAGAGTAAACACTGATAGCATAAGAATGAATAAAGATAATAAGAGAAAGATATACAGATGACGGCAAGACATAGGGTACATATAGATAGGAAAATGATAATAATAATAAGATAGAGATGACGGCAAGAAAGAGAGTAAACACTGATAGCATAAGAATGAATAAAGATAATAAGAGAAAGATATACAGATGACGGCAAGACATAGGGTACATATAGATAGGAAAATGATAATAATAATAAGATAGAGATGACGGCAAGAAAGAGAGTAAACACTGATAGCATAAGAATGAATAAAGATAATAAGAGAAAGATATAGAGATGACGGCAAGACATAGGGTACATAATTATAGATAGGAAAATGATAATAATAATAAGATAGAGATGACGGAAAGAAAGAGAGTAAACACTGATAGCATAAGAATGAATAAAGATAATAAGAGAAAGATATAGAGATGACGGCAAGACATAGGGTACATATAGATAGGAAAATGATAATAATAATGAGATAGAGATGACGGCAAGAAAGAGAGTATTACACTCATAGCATAATAATGAATAAAGATAATAAGAAAAAGATATACAGATGACGGCAAGACATAGGGTACATATAGATAGGAAAATGATAATAATAATAAGATAGAGATGACGGAAAGAAAGAGAGTAAACACTGATAGCATAAGAATGAATAAAGATAATAAAAGAAAGATATAAAGATGACGGCAAGACAGGATACATCTTTCTTTCATTAGTTTTATTCATTCTTATTCTATCACTGTCTACTCTCTTTCTTGCTGTCATCTCTAGCTCTTTCATTAATTTTTATTCATTCTTATTCTATCAGTCTACTCTCTTTCTTGCTGTCATCTCTATCTCTTTCTTTCATTATTTTTATTCATTCTTATTCTATCACTGTCTACTCTCTTTCTTGCTGTCATCTCTATCTCCTTCTTTCATTTTTTTTATTCATTCTTATTCTATCAGTCTACTCTCTTTCTTGCTGTCATCTCTAGCTCTTTCATTAATTTTTATTCATTCTTATTCTATCAGTCTACTCTCAGGGAACACTTTTATCACTAGAGTCTTCGTCACTGCTCGATTCGTCGGAATCAGAGTCCATGCTCCATGCTTCCATAGTAACAAGATCTCGAGCCTCCTCTACACTAAACACACGTTGACGTTTTCCAGCAGGTGCCATCGTAACATCAGTAAAAAAAATCCAAAGAAAACCGCTAAATACACGGTAATTTCGAATGTAACACTATGAAGAAAAACAGTTTACCGGAAAGTGTGCGATGTATACAATGTAAACAATAGTAAACGCAACGCGTGGCTACACACTGCGAGCGGTATTATGAATGTCTAATTGACTCGTATACATCTGTGCAAAAATGCGAAGTTGGCACGCCTACGTCCGTGCAAATCGGCGAACAAAGCAAACAAAGAGTTAAAGTACTAGAGTGCCATAATAGCTGCCCTGCTAAAGCTGGGGTAAACAACAAAAACATGGATCACAAAGAGTGTCAAGTGTGACAGTTATGCATGTAAGACCTATACAAGAAGCCACCATTATCATGATTAGACTTGATCCTACTAGACATGGGCGGGGCCCATAGCCCAGGATACATACCCTGAAGCTCTGGCCCTAGGGTTGTGATGAGAGCTGCTAAGCATCGTCCCAAGCATTGATGAACCTCAACTGTAGAGGGCGGTACACTCAGTAGAAGGGTCAGGACCAGTGAGAGGGTAGGCTCCACGTAAGATCTGAACATAGGACCTCCAGTGTCTGCTATCAGAGCTAGGGCATGCAATGCCCACATCTAAATGATCATGTACATAAACAAAATATGTATATCGTAACAAGTGTACATGAAGGTAATCATGAATGAACATGTAAACAAAAATAGAATGTGTGAAGTCCATTCTACTTATGTAATTAATGCTAGGAATACTTTCCAGACATAGTTCTTTTTAACCTATTTCCCAAATCCCCCCCCCCCCCTTCTCTCACTGTCCTCAATATGTTAACATAAGAATATTGAATTGTTTCCAGTGCACAATTAATCTATACAGTTGTTTATAGGGTTGTCATAGAGCTACTCAAGAACGTTAATGGGTAATTTTGCAAATCCAGTGTATTGCACAAAGCAATCCTTCCCTCAATTAGCACCTTTTGATTTTTGCCAAAATGCGCATGTGGCAAATGAGCGACTGTGCAGAAAGGGAAAAAAAAGCAACTGAAGTGTTAAAGGTATAGACCAGTTTTGGAAACGCCCCCTCTCAAAAAAATGAAATGGAAGCTCTTCTTATCAATCATGTGAAAGAATATGTTTTGACTAATACGTGATGATACAAATTTTGCTGGGAAACTGCCTACTAATTGATATACTTGGTAGATTATCATATCTATCAGGCCTGGATAGATATCACGTAGTCCCATATACATCTTTCTGTGTACAGTGCTTGTAACTTTACCAAGACTGGGCCACATTTCTTATAATTTTGATGATTCCAGAACCTTGCAGTACACACCAATACTTATATGCTAGATGATCAACCTTTTCCGATCGATTCCACAACGTTTCTTTCACAATGCAATCGCACAACCAGAACTGGTCTATACCTTTAAACACATCATTCAATCTATATTTTTTTCTAAGTGATGGATAGATGTTTGACTAACCTGAACTTCAGGAGATGTTATATCTTGAGCTAGAGCAAGAAGGATACTAACGCTGGTATTGAGATGTTGACCAGCCCCCATACCACCTACATAACGGTGAAGACATCCCAAAGCTAGGGAGTTACCAGTCCTTGATACCACATCACGAGCCGTCTTTAATCTGCAACAATAAACAAGATGAAATAATAGTAACAATAATTGGATGCATATCGCTTCTTTTACAGAGGATACAATGTGCTGTCCCTTACCCTGAGGACAAATTAAGAATTGGAGAGGTATGTTTTTAGATGTTTTTTTTTTTTAAAGAAGTCAAGTGAAGTACTATTTCTTAGAAATACAGGGAGTTTTTTCAGTAGGTGTGGGACAATGGATTGAAAGGATTAAAAGCCAGCTTGTTTTTCAGGATTGGGAATGAGAAAGGAAAGAGCTGATGTACATCAAATCAACAATAATGTTTTCTGCTGCTAAAAGAGTGAAGAGATGAATAGTGGACAAAGATCTACAAGTTTCAGCAAGTATTTGTTATTGTATTCTCTCAGTAACTGGAAGCCAGTTCAGTTTATTTAATAATGGGTAGCATGGGACCAAATCGGTTTTTTGGTATATCTAGCAAAGGAGCAGGTTTGATATGGATCTTACCTATCAAAGCACATCTGAGCAGTCTGAGCAATGAAGGTATTATCCCCTCCAACTTGAGCCATTCTACCCAAGGCTTCCCCTGCCGAACATCTCAGGATGGGGTTGCCATTGTTAAGAGCACCCTGTAACAAGTAACAACACAATCACATTAACACATAGTATACATATTTCTTATATCAAAGCAAATAACACAAAAAGGATATTCTGCAAAAAAAAGGAATACAGCCTCGAGCTCTCTGAACAGCTTGAACCATCCAAAATGATGATTACTCATCCAATGTGATACAACATGAGACAAAAAAAGTTTTGAAATCTGTGTGTCCAAGGGAGCTTGAACATGCTAAGGATCAGTACATTTTGTCAGTAATAATTGAATTGGTTTATCAAAAAAGAAAAACATGACGTGCAGCTCAAGACTGATATTGTCTGTTTTACATAGTGATCAGATATTTACATTGTAATACAAACATCAAAATACAAAAGCAATATAACAAAATAACAATGGTAACATCACACAGCAATATTATTTAAGATTTAGACAAATGTGTAAAAGATGTGGATAAGTAGTTATCAAAATAATCAAAGCAATGTTATTAAATATTAAAAAATAAGTTCAATTGAGCATGCTCAGGAATATTAGGCTTATTGCACAAAAATGTCACTTTAGACAAACTATGATTGGCTGTTGAGCCCCGTTACCATGGTAGTTGACATTGATGACAAAGTTACCATCAATTGTAACTTTTACGCAACGGGGCCCTAGACAGGAATAAAACACCAAATAAATGTTTAACTAAGATGGCTGCTGTTATACTTACCATGATCAAAGCGTATGCAGCATTTCTAACCTTGGTGTTTACAAGTCTTTGTTTGGCATCAGCTAGGCCCTGTGGATAAACCAAATACATCTATGACTCAGGCAGGCAGAGCAGTATGAACCACAAAATTCCCTAGCACACTTATCCCAATGTATCACAGATAATTCTAGACATTATCAGAATATGTGAAACTAGAGTTTTGAGTTATCTACTTACATTACATTCTTTTTAAAAGTTGTATAAGGGTTAAATGGTTTATATTTGAAGCAGTATCATTAAATTTATGATTTCTCCCCAGATGATTCCTCAATTTCACATATGAAAGACTTGATTTCAAAAGAGATAAGTCAGATTATAATGCCATTTATCACACATCTTTCCCTTACAAAATATGTGTTACGCATAGGAATCAAATTGTAAAATTTCAATAGATCTTCCACACCATTTCCTTTGCAAACAAATTGACCCCAAATGATCATTCAGATATGAAGCAGTAAATTCATGATATAAAGTGTAATTGCTTCTCATTTCTATATCTTGTAACACAGAGCTATGTTAAGATCCAAAAATTATTTGTTGAGCGCAATTGCTATTCATTTAGATGCAAAGAACTGCAGTTTACCGCGCCATGTGTGAACAAGCCTTAATTCTAACTTGAGTGCGCCATGTGTGAACAAGCCTTAATTCTAACCTTGAGTGCACCATGTGTGAACAAGCCTTAATTCTAACTTGAGTGCGCCATGTGTGAACAAGCCTTAATTCTAACCTTGAGTGCACCATGTGTGAACAAGCGTTAATTCTAACTTGAGTGCGCCATGTGTGAACAAGCCTTAATTCTAACTTAAGCGCACCATGTGTGAACAAGCCTTAATTCTAACCTTGAGTGCACCATGTGTAAACAAGCCTTAATTCTAACTTGAGTGCACCATGTGTGAACAAGCCTTAATTCTAACCTTGAGTGCACCATGTGTGAACAAGCCTTAATTCTAACCTTGAGTGCACCATGTGTGAACAAGCCTTAATTCTAACCTTGAGTGCACCATGTGTGAACAAGCCTTAATTCTAACCTTGAATGCGCCATGTGTGAACAAGCCTTAATTCTAACCTTGAGTGCACCATGTGTGAACAAGCCTTAATTCTAACCTTGAATGCGCCATGTGTGAACAAGCCTTAATTCTAACCTTGAGTGCACCATGTGTGAACAAGCCTTAATTCTAACTTGAGTGCACCATGTGTGAACAAGCCTTAATTCTAACCTTGAGTGCACCATGTGTGAACAAGCCTTAATTCTAACCTTGAGAGCACCATGTGTGAACAAGCCTTAATTCTAACCTTGAGTGCACCATGTGTGAACAAGCCTTAATTCTAACTTGAGTGCACCATGTGTGAACAAGCCTTAATTCTAACCTTGAGTGCGCCATTTGTGAACAAGCCTTAATTCTAACCTTGAGTGCACTAAGTACAGCGGTGAAGATATTGATCTGTACTGCTTGTTGTCTGGCTGATTTAGCATTCTGAATACAATCCTGGAAGTGTTCTAGGATCTTATTCCTATGTTTGTCCGCAACATGAGGGAACACAACTCCAAAGAGGGTCACAGAGGCATCTATGACAGCCACTCCTAGAGGCAGGGGTCCTGGCACCTCATCCTCCTGTTTTCAAATCAAGCAGACCACATACAAAAATGAGACTCAAACAATGCCAGTTTGACATCAACTTAGTTCAGGGAAGGAAAGAAGGAACAATAACCATTAAATCAATGATACAATAGGATGACTCCTCTAACAGGAGAAAGTCTCTTGAACCATGTTCTTTTCTATTTGGCTGACAAACAAAGTCAGTGTTGTTCAGACTACATACATAGAGCAGAATATTAGATTAAAACTCTTACCCAAAGGCTTCAAACCATATTCATTTTTAAAATGTGGATGTTAGTTTCTTCCAAACAGATAGATTTCTTCAAATGCAAAAGCATGTGGAAAGGACAAATATTTCAGTATCATCTACATTCAGAATATGGAATGTAAAAGTCACTACCTTGCACTTTTCTGACCAATATGATCCCATAATAATACCAATGATACCATGTTGAGTAGAAAGAAAGAATGATAGATATACAGAGAAGACAGAGACAGAGACAGAGACAGACTGAGACACAGAGACAGTGGCAGAGATAGAGATGGAGACAGAGACAGAGACAGAGACAGATTAAAACACAGAGACAGAGGCAGGGACAAAGACAGAGGCAGGGACAAAGACAGAGATAGAGACAGAGATAGAGACGTAGATATAGACATAGAAAGAGACAGAGGCAGAGAAAGAGACAGAGACAAGGGACATAGAAAGAGACAAAGACAGAGAAAGAGACAAAGACAGAGAAAGAGACAAAGACAGAGAAAGAGACAAAGACAGAGAAAGAGACAAAGACATAGAAAGAGACAAAGACAGACACAGACACAGACACAGGGACATAGACAGAGACATAAACAAATGAAGAGACATAGAGAGATATACTTACATGACCGATCTCCCAGTAGAGAGATGATGGATCATGCTCTAGTGCTCCTGATCCTGATGCACTGTTTGGCTGTAGCTGAAGCTCTACTGACTTGTGATCTGTATCCTGGATCCAGGAACCTAGGATGATGGAATCATTCTCATGACAGAGGGAGCGCAGGCGAGATGTAGTAGTGTTAGCTGGGTTGTCTGTCAGTGTGAACTCGGCAACCAGCTCTCGTAACAGAGGAATGAAGCTCCCTATAAATGCAGAGTGGAAGATTATACATACCCTAAATCATCGCAACATACATACCACAGTATAAAACGTCATAAAACACATGCCTGTATCACAGGGTTGCAAAATGTTTCTAATGATATAATATCAAGTTCTTCTTTTATTTTCACCTAGCCAAAACAAAACATTGAGATAAGTCCATTTTTAAGACATACAATCTGAGGTAATTGAGACAAATCCATTCTGACACTGTCACAGAGTATAAGGACCCCAGCCCCCCCCCCCCCACCAACCACATAGGATATTAATGTACAGGGACACACATTTGTAGTATAGATAATGGGCGTTATTCAGGTATACTGGCTCCTGGCCTACTACAACCACACTAGCAACATGGTACACAGGGAAGGATTTGGGTTTCAAATTTGTGGTTGTTTTTTTGCATAATAAATAATAAATGGCGAGGTCACTATTAAATCAGTAGTTTCTTTAGATTTTGCCAAAACACACAAATATCACAAATCACATTCATCCGAGTACATTCAAATACCGGTATGTACAGTCGAACCTGTCTGTAGCAACCACCCTAGGGAAACACAAATAGTGGCCATTGTAGACAGGTAGGCGTTGACGGGCATTGACGGCCATTTTGGTTTTGAATAATTGATTGACAGCGTGCCGCCCACTAGCGCCGCCTCTCGCAGACCCGCCAGTGCAATTTTCTGTGGCTTTATAAGGGCCGGCTCAGTCGAGCGAGAAAAAGAGGCAGAGAGCCCATCGATTTTTGGTGACCAGCGGAAGCAAAATGAAAGGCTGTTGGGCAGGTGGTCGTTGTGTACAGATTCTTAACTACATGAAATCTCATGTGGGGATTTTAAATAGTCGTTATGGACAGGTGGTCGTTACAGACAGGTGGTTGTTAAGACAGGTTTGACTGTACTTTAGAATTATTAGAATGAGAACTGGTTGAAGGAAGAGTGTCGCCATGATTACCTTCATATGATTTAGGTGGCAGCTGTCTGAGTACTTCATAGAGTCTGAGTCTAACCATAGCAGCGCAAGCTTTCAAGTGAGCTCCATAAGACTTGATCACCTCATGGATCCTGCAACAGAGAGAGATAGGCATACCATCATCAAGTCAAGTCATGATACATTCAATTCATTTATAGTACACTTACAAGTATTAAACCATTTCACAGGGTGGTTTAAAGATTTAAAGAGTTTTAAAAAAATAAACTAGCATAAACGAAATAAAAGTTATTGTCCATGACTGAATACAACAGCTGTTAAAGCCTTATAAGTAGATTCCTTATGAGGAGAAGGCAGACAAATCCTTGGAGATCTATCTACAGTCATGGTGCAAAAGCCTGAAAAGTACCATCATCAGCTTTACTTTTCTAGGCAAAAAAAAAATATTTAGACAAGCTTATCAAATGGAGGACATATCAAACTGTATTTATTCTTTAATTGACACAACTATTCTATCTTTCTAAAAGCAGGAGGCGCGATGGCTCAGTGGTAGAGTAGTGGTCTCGTAACTGGGATGTCCCAGATTCAAAACCAAGTTGATGATCACTGACTAAACTTCGTGCACTGGCCCTGCGCTAACACATTGCATTATTTGTATATTATCCCTCAGAGAGAACTTAAGGCCGTCGGTTCCCTGGTTGCTTACTTACAAACATACACATGCTTTTCTTAGCAATCAGGTAAAACAAACGCACAAAATGAACTTACTCAGATAGCATTGACATAGCACATTCCAGAGGGGTCATAAGCCTCCTGACGACATCATCACTGATCAGCTCTGGGCAATGACGGATAAAACTCTGCATGGCTGGACAGAAGCAAACGATACAGACACAGAGTAAGAGAGATATACATCAATACACTGCATGATTACTCTAAAAGTATTCCCCAGAAGTTAATGATGACAATATGTACTTGTGCTTTTGAGTGGATCTGGGCTCATCCCATGTGCTACAGCCTTGTTAAATATTTGACAAGTAGCTTAGTAAGGTTTTATACAAATGGTCCCTAATCTTTTGTAAGATGTCAACATTTGCAGGTATACACAGTCCCAGTATTATAAGAGCATTTCAATTTCCTACATCATAAACAAGATCATAACTCATAACCAGAAAACTAACTGTAATCACTGAACAGTACTTTACAACGAAAGACCATAACTTTCACAATGTTTTCCAGCGTGATTCTAAGCCTGTTCCTTTAAGATAACCTAAATAAAAGACTTACAGCACGCCTATCTGGCCTTCCAGTATAACCTGCCAGTTGAAGGTTATCCAATATATTTCTAGCCAGATCCTCTAAGATGCAAGTAAATTGATTACTTAACACAGAGCACCATACTGAGCCTTTCAGTATAACTTGCCAAATGTAGGTATGCTAAATAATTCTAGTCAGTTCAATTAAGATATAACTTAATACTGCACAGCACCCTTATTTGGCCTCTAAGCATGGCTTGCAGTGAAAGCTATCCAACATTATTTGAACAAGTTCCTTTCAGCGAAAACCTAAATTTAGAACTTACCACATAGCGCTCCAGCTCGTCCTTCCAGCATAACCTGCCAGGTGAAAGCATCCCCTCGTGCCTTCTCAGATTCCATCTCACGAGATGATCGTGGGAAGGCATTACGCCAAAGAAGTAAGAGGCGGGGCAAGTGATTCCGTACAACAGGAGTGCCTGCAGAGAAAACAGTGATGGAAGCTTGGTGAGTGAAGGTCATTAATATCTTAATCAATAAAGTGAATCTGAACTATGCAATCTATAGTGATATGGTGATAATCGTTATTCCAATAAGGAGGAGCTTTAAAGAAAATTCACGACAACTGATAATTATGGACAAATCATGTATGGATGGAAAGATTTTCTCTTGAAAAAAACAAATAATTTGCTGAAAAATCATATAGATATCATGGAAAAGCTTAAAATGCTTTGTGGCTAACTGTGTCTCGCATGTGACGTCTTGAATCTTGTCGCTCTACCAAGGACAGCTGAAGGCAGAAAATCTGGATCTCAAAATTAACATTTCTGAGAGATGATTACAGCGGGCCCCAAACATATTTTGAAGAGGGAAGTTGTTATATTTGATCAGTAAGGCTTCCCTTCGCAATGATATTAATTTTGCATCAATTCAAAACACTTTTGATTCTTCGGGTGACTACTTTAATGAAAACTTTCTTGTTATCCTCATTTTTATGCCAACCATCAGTCACATCTGAAGAAATGCTTCCAGTCCTTACAACCTTATTTGACTGGTTACTTCATTTGTTTACAGGTATCTAAATTATAGGTCTGTATATATATATATGTAAGGATCTAGTATAAAGTTAATTATCTAAATTTTTGACAGCGCACCACAAAAACACCGGAAAGTGACACAATGTGATTTTCAATTTGGTTTCAAGAATCATATATTTGGTCAGCATCATTGAATGTTAGTTTGTTGAATGAACCTACCTAATGTCATGATAGAGCCTAGAATGAGCCAGCTAGCCTGTGTACGGTGCAGTGACATGCGACTGTTCTGTGAGGCTGTCCTCAGGAGATCCTCAGCCATACTGAATACTTGCTGAAAGGTCACAGGGAAAGGAAACAAACATTTATGTTGCACTTGCTTAGACTGATATCAAACAAGAAAACTACTCTGACACTAGACAGTAAAGGCTTGTTCAGAAGGTGAACTGCAGTAGTTCTTTTAACAACATGTAAATGAATGGAAACTACCACAACAAAAGTTTTACCCGAAATGTGAAGCATATTGTATTTAATTCATTATATAAAAAAATAGAAAACAACTACAAGTGTGCTGCCTTATATCTAATCCAACCTTAGGCAATATGACACTGTTGATTCAGTAAGCAATATTTGAAGACACAAGCTTCAAAGTTGCATTTTGAATGAATTATGACAGGTTGCTTTGCTCTCTCAGAAAGAGAGAAAGAGAGTTCTTACAAAGATCATTAGCAAGTAAAGTTGGTTATTACATTTCTAATGTGTAACCCACAGAAAAGAACAAAACTGGCTTTATATATGCATGTAAAGTGACTAGTATGTCAAAATGTGTGAAAAGCTCATTACCTTTCCCTTTGCATGAGGTATTCCTAACGGGCAGCTTCTGACAGCACCCAGCATGGCAGCAATAGCAAAGCTGTATCCAGACACAGCCTCAGGAGAGCTCTTGTACTTATCCATCCTCTCCATACAACCATCTAACATCCTGGTCAACTGAGACGGCAGTGCTACAGAGATACAGCGTACACACCAAGAACCAGCTAACCGAGCCGCTGGGCTAGGGTGCAGGAGCACAGACAGCACTGTGTAACACATATCTGCAAATAGAATGAGTTGGAAATGTCAGTTTGATTCTCAGGAAGGTTTACAGAAAGGATAATTATCAATTTGTATGTGGTTGTGGGCAGATTATAGATTACTTTACATTCACCAGTGAATAGCTATGCTTTCAAATGTTTTCATCTTAACAAAACATAATTTATTGTACATTAAACCAAAGAAAGGCACCATTACCTTCTTTCCCTTGCTACAAATCTATGACATCAAAGCAATAAAGAGAACCTGCTAACACATTACAGGAACAATTGTTTAGAATTTCTAACATGACTCACTGAGACTTAGATTATTGTAATTGTAATTATCTTACAATTAACTACTTCGCATGGTTTGTCCTGTTAATGAATACTGATGAGGCTACCCTGGGTAAACAAGACATATTATTATTATTAAATGATGAGATAGCAGAATGCATCATATGACAATCTAATTTAGGCATTGTAGGCCACTTCAGTGTCCGTGTGAGAGAGAAAGATGTACGGGAATTGTGACTAAAGCAAGGATGAAGGATGTGACATATGGCAGTACAGAGGTTAGGCTGCTCATCCATTAGCAACAAGTTAATAAGCATTATAAGGTTGTTATAATAAGATAGAATGACTTACTAGCTGATGATTCTCCCAGGAGTGGAGCAGAGCATGAACTTAAAGTCCTCACCAGGCTCCCTAACTCCTGCAGGGCACAGATCAATACATGCTGACTCACAAACACATCAGATCCTTTGCTATCATTCCCTCCTTCCACAGGATCTGAAAACAAATCACAAAAGATCAATCAATACTATTCTACGACAAAAAACATAATCTCTTATATTTATTACTATTCCCATGTGTTATGCTTTCTGTGCATTATTGATGCTGTTACCCATACCTCTTATGTTTCGTTTAAAAGTTAACAAATCAGGGAAAACTTAATCTAACTTCTAATTGTAGCAAGAAAAATTAAAGAGCATCCATCAACAAGTGGGATACATTGTACTTTTAATGTAAAATGAATCAAAAGCTTTTCCTCTTTAAATTGCTACAAGAAATAGTTTCATATTTACTGCCAGATTATTAATACAAAAAACAATAACATTGAATTCAAAGTTGTCCATTCCTTATCACTTGATGATTTTAAAGTATATTTTCCTTTTTAAACTCCTGGCATCATACCTCATAATGTAAAAACAAGTAGCTTTCAAAAATAAACCACAACCAACTGTGCCTAAGTTTGTTCCTTCTGCTCGTGCATATGGTTCATGTTTTAGGGTTATGAATCAAAAGTAAATGTGCTGAACCATAAACCATGGAACATCTGCTTTGACGTGATCAAAGGACATGTCTATAACTTACCCACAGCATTCATCTGTTTGGCAATGATCCTACAGAGCTCCTTACAAGCAGACACCTGAGCTTTCTCTCCTAGCATCTGACCTAGGGTAGACTGTAGGATGAAGGTCACACAGCGTCTAGAGTAGACAGCATCTACATGGGTCTGAGTAGCCTTGGGGCTTGCTACCAGACCTAGGACATGTTCCATGAAGAGGGACAGGTTACGCTCCAGCCAAAGACCACCCAAGGTCTTCACCAACACAACATAAGCCTGCAATAGCAAACAAAATGAAATCAGTGTTAACAAAACAAGAACTAGATTAGATTTCATTTTAAATTTTGCCTTGAAGTTGAATGGTGTTAATCATGAGTAATGTTGTTTAGACCGAGTCTACCTGCATCATGTGTTTGTGTGCACCATGACAGCGTAACCTCAAAGGGTTACTTATGTCAAAGAGATACGCTATTCGCCCATGTACACATTTTCTGTTTAAGGTCTTTTGATTTATCCTTCATAGTTTACATATCCCTTCTGGGCAGAGTAAGGCAAAGTGTAAAAGAGAGATGTCATGAAATCATAGTTTATGATTCCAATTGATCTTTTCAGAATGTATCTTCTTGAATTAAATGAAATACTTAAAATCAGGGCCCTGTTTCATGAAACTGGTTAACAAGTTACACGAACTGATATAAGCTACTGAAATCATGACGTTTGATTGGCTGAGAGCAAATATGTCATAGAAATTTAGCATTTGTTATTGATAACAAGTTTAATAATACAGGGCCCTGTGCCATAGATGACTTACATGAGTAACTCCAACTCTGATCTCTCTATTGACCATGCCTCCTCCTCCCTTGAGTAGTTCTCCAGACCCTCCTTTGAGGAAACCAGACGTACCCTTCACAAAGCCTGATGCCAGCAGGTTAAGGATATCTTCATTGGAAAGCCGCTTGGCCTTAGAGTCTGCAAAGATATGCCAATTGAAAGATTATAAATATTAATCTCTGCATAATGACTGTATTTCTTTTAAGTGTAAAGATATTACATTCAATTAAATAAATTAAAATTAAAATGTTCAAACAGATAAGTTGGCTTTCATGAGACACACATAGTTTATAAAGATCTCCAAGACAATTTTGGTGCGATGAGGCCTAAACACCATTATGCAACATTTTGTATTGTGTAAACACCAAATATTGTGATAATATTAGTCAATAATGCTGTATTCATGTCTTCTTGTGGTCCTTGTAATAATTCAAGATTCAATTCAATTCAATTGATGCAAATATTATTGATTACACATAAATGTGTAATTTGACAGTAATTTCTAGGTATGCTAGGTTCCGATATGCCTTATAGGTTATGAACACATTTGACACATCTACATTTCCCACAAACTTAAGGCAGACACTCTTTATTGTTCAAAATTTTAATTCATAAACCATTAATATAATATAAAAATATAAACAAATATAATAAACTATGTATTTTGCGATTTTCTTTCAGTGACTCATTTAATATTAAAATGCTATGCTCACTCATGCATGAATGGTATGATTTGAATTGCATATCATCTCTAATAGAGTTTAATTTATGTTTATTTTGATAAATGAAAGTTAAGTTTATATCAAATATTTATTTGAAAGCCGTAATTATGAACCGTGTCCTCTTTTTTAACTTACTGAGTGTATATCTCAAGTAGCATCTTACAAAATGAAATGTTAAGAGGGGTTATTTTGCTTTCAAGTTTCAGACGAAATGGTGGATGTATGTATAGTGAGGGTGCAGTGATTTTGATCTTACCTCTTGGAGGGGGATGAGTGAGTGCTCGAGCTAAGAGAACACCAAGCAGCTGAGCCACAGCACTGCGTACATCATAGTTAGAACCATCTAGGGCTCTGAAGCTTGAAGACACTATGTTCTCTAGCTCAGATGTTATCATGAATGAAGCTTCCCCTGCAAGCTGCTCCAGGCACTGTGACGAGAGGAGGAGGGATTAAGGGTCAGAGATTTAAACCCCTTGATTTTAATCCTCTCAAGCGATGGGTAGAAGAGGAAGCTAGCTCTAATCCCCATGACAGCTTGGTATAACTCAAGCTTGGATTGCCAGATTTCCCTACTCTCCCTTACATCCACATTAATTTGATATCAATCTACATTGCCTCCAAGCTTTCTTTATTACAATCTTATTAAAGGTATTAGTCTACTCTATTATGAAGCTCCGTTTATGTGGTCTAAAAGTGCTGAAAATGCATCATCTACTTGTACAGTGCAGCTACCTTTCTCAGCTTCACATACCTCACAGCCAATGTTTTATCTGGATTGGAACCTACTGCATTACGCCTTGGTTTCATCATTCATTTCTCCAAACATCAACTTATCACCTATATTTTAATACTCCTATTCACCCCATATTCATTCTTTCTTCCATCTATCAATCAATCCACACATACTACCTATCTTTGAATTCTGTGCTGTTATTCATTTATCCTACAATCTACATATTAACTGATGATCAAAACACTGACTCGGTTTCCATCCCATCCTCATTCTTTCTTCCTTCCTTCTATCTATCCTTCCATCCATCTTTCTATCCACACCTCTACCTACCTTTGCAGCAGATACTCTGACAGCCATGGTTCTATCCTGTAGGGCATTACGTGCTGCTTTGTAGATATCTCTGTGTTGAGGCTGGGTTACACTGCCAAGTCCTAAGAGGATTTTCTGTAGACAGAGCATTATCTCACAGCGACCCGTTGACTGCAAGTGAAATAAAGTGAAAATGTTTAAGAAGAAATGCTTTACAAGACACAGCTTTATTTGTAGCATACATTAGACATTAACACAATCATAAAGTGTGAGATCTGCTACATGTACCTGTATGCTTGCACGTTTTATAGCAGAGATTTCATAAAAGAAAGAAACTACTGCCTCTTCTACATGTCATTTGTTATTAACAACTGAAGACAAACAAAATCAAAGGTTACATTCTATTCATAATATAAAGGACTCAATTCATATTCTCATGCTGGCATGTCACATGGGTTGTATCATCATGAATTTACTAGAAATCAAGAGCATTTTTACAAAAATTTATGTGAACTTTAAAATAATTATAATAATTGTGAAACGCCCCTTCCTGTCTAGACAGACTTCTTACAAAGTCTCAATGGATTTTAAGATTCAATGATGCAGCTAAAAATACTTCACAATGTAATTGTATAGCATTTTAAGAGTTATAACCAAGTTCATATGTTTTATAAGAAATATGAGAATATATGCAAGTTCCATCATCAAAGAAATTGCTGTGTGTGAATCAAAATACAATAATTGCTAAAAGTAAAAAAGATATGGCAAATGAAGCTACGTGTAAAAAGTGTACGGAATAGATGGTTCAGTGAAAGTAGGAGAGAATTGTAATAGAAGTAATAGGGGCAGTAGCAAAGATCTAGCAGAGTTAGTAGATGGTTTAGTGAAGGTATTAGTACAGTCAAACCTGTCTATAGTGACCGCACAAGGGAAAAACAAAAAGCGGTCTTTGTAGACAGGTTACTTTGGTAGGATTCCTTTAGTCTATGTAGACAGGTGGTCACTAAAGCAGGTTTGACTGTAGTAGAGAATTGTAATATTAACAGGGGTGATAGAATGAGTCTTACCTCTGCATTTTTCAGAGCCTTGATAAGACTTTGGATGGTGTCTGTATAAGAGTTCCCTGTGAGACGTCCCAACATCTGATACATCTTACCCAACACAGCCACAGCAGCCCTAGAACATAATCAAACAATACGATGCATAGTGGTTAAATCCCTTCCAAGAATAAACTTTCTTTTCTCTCACTCTCTCTCAATCATGTTTTTTTTTCTTCACCCCCACCTGTTTTACGCTTATCATTATCATCATCATTATTATAATTATCTTTTTTTATCTCAGCTTCCCTTCCTAAAACTAACTTATAATTCATTAAAGGTATAGACCGGTATTGGAAATGCCCCAATTTCAAAAAATGAAATGGAAGCTCTCATTACCGATCATGTGAAAGAATATGTTTTGACTAATACATGATGATAAAAAATTTGTTGGGAAACCGCCTACTAATTCATATATTTGGTAAATTTGTTTCTCTCATGGTCTGTGAGAGATATAGGGTAGTCCCATATACAACTTTTTGTGTATAGTGCTTGTAAATTTATGAAGAATGGGCCAAATTTCTTATCATTTTTATGATTCCAGAACCTTGCAGATGCTAGATGCTAGATGATCAACCTTTTCTGATCAATTCCACAACATTTCTTTCACAATGCAATCGCATGACCATAATTGGTCTTTACCTTTAATTGACAACTATGTTCAATGATGACAACAAAGCTACATTTATCATAAGGCAAATATACATGTATAAATCAACATGCTATACTTGTGTAATGTATAAACAAAAGTTCAGGGAGATTTCCTGTGGTTATCTAGTTAGCATATTTGAGAGGAAAATTGTCCATAACCACAAGCCACAAAGGACAGTATTTGAACATCCCATCAAATAATTGATTTAAATGTCGGGAATGTATTGAACTAAATACCATACAAAAAGTCTGATGCAGGGAATACTTATACAAGCTCTAGTACAGATTGCAAGGCAAGCACTACATTGTGTTTTCTGACACAGTCTTTAAAAAAACATCTGGAAAACAGCTGTATTTATCCAGATTCACAAACATGAACCTGAAACTAACTAAATAATGCATTATCAGGCAAACACAACAGGGTATTTCTCTTAAAGGCAAATACAGCCTTCAAACTATTCATACATTTTATGATAGAGTACATGTATTATATTCATAAAATATTCATGGAAATAGTCTTTGCAAATATGTGGAAGTAATTGTGAAAGTATGATTTTATCAGATAGTTTTAAGATATGACAATGATCCTATATTTGAAGTGATGTAAACGTTGTTAATCATTGATTTCTGATTATAGAGTCTAAATGTATAGCTTTCAAAGCTTGGGTAACAGTTAAATTCCAGCCACATTTACATTAGGCAATCATAAGGAACTAAGGAAAATTAACCACTTGCAAATACGTGTACCTGTACTTTGAAAACTCAATTTTTCCCAGTTTTCATATAGGATTGTATACTCATATTCCATCATTATCATCATCATCACCATCAACATGGCACTACAATGCAATATAATAATACTAAAGTGTTATCTTAACAAAAACGAACCATATAATACAATAATAAACGTACAATGATAATGCTAGTATCTCTGGGTGCAAAGGATCTGCTTGATTCTCATTTGAAATGTACCAAGACTATTGATGATTGTAATGTGACTAGGCAGTCTGTTCAACATGACCGGTGGTGCATCATGGTCACATGCCACATAGCAGTTCATAAAATCAACTTCTATCAGAATGAAGAGTTATTGAAGACTTCAGCTTTCCTGTGACAGGTACAATGTAGATATTCTGACACGCGTCCTTGCTTTAAATAGCGGAAGTAACATGAATAATCAGCTGATAACGTAATTGAATAAGACGAATAGGATGTATTTTAATCCCCTTATCGAATATATAGAATCTTTTTAAGTGGAGTTATATATACGACTTGGCTTGAATCCAATGTCATTCATGTACATTTCATCACATACTGTGTTCTGCAATATGTATTCCTTAATGACTTGCATATATATACAAGTAACTAAAAATGTTATTGTCTATGAAGTATAGATATTACTTTAAAAATGAGTTGTTAATAAAGTCTGACAAAGAGGCATTAGTGCACCTTCACACAAAACGTGCTTCATTTCGTCACACACACTTGAGTCTATGTAGTGGGACTGAGGGAACAAAGCATTTGACGAATTAAAGCACGCCCAGTGGCGGAGGCGGTGTGACAGTGTAGCGCCAACAAAGTTAGGGTAATTTTTGTTCCTAGATGCTATTCCCATTCATGCACCTGAAAGATTTTGTTATCATTCCGCTCGTTGTGCACTGTGATGTTTGTCCTATTTATTCTTAAATATATTTGTTCTAGTCTTTTACAATGACTAAAGAATTTGACTTGATTTAAATCCAATTCAACTGACTTGGTGTCTTAAGGAAAACAAAATTAAGTTATTAAGGAAAAGAATAAGCCCCACTGAGTTATATCCACCACAATCCCCACATTGCAGAGTCTATTAAAACCTAGCTAAACTACATGTATACCTAACACTGACTGCCATGTCTGAAATGTCATTGAATGCAGCTAGCATAGCTATGTGATCAGTCTTGGGTGCCATCATTCCCATTATATTACTAACTCATCACACCAGCATACAACTGTCAGACATGTTAATCTATAAAACATGATGTGGAGAACTCAAGATGGCAAACCAATAACACTCTTAACCCAAGGGGTTCAGAATGGTAGAGGTGACACAGTCCCCAGCTTTAGCAACTTGACTGCAAATGCAAAGGTTAAGGGGTTCGATCCCTGGCAAGGCACTATTGTCTTTTCGTAAGGCATAAGTGTACATTTGTTACTCCATACTCAGGAGAGAAATGGGGACCTAGTAGGATGACGAAAGCCTTTGAGTTAGTAATTGCCATATGCCCTCATGATGACTACATGTATAGTGGTAGGAATGCTCCCCAGGGAGTGGAGATGGTGCATACCACTGTTCTTGAATGAATCTGATGACCAGGGTAATAATTTTTGTAAAGCACTTACAGTATAAGACGATAAGCGCTACATAAATCCAGAAGTTATTATTATGATGTGGTATATCAATGACTTTCCACTTAAAACGGTCTATCACCAGGGTCTAGTCAGTCCCTTACAATAGATTATTTGATTAAAACCCACAAAATATTCTCTTTTTTTAATGAATCTCTCTCTTTTATTATCTTTTCCCAGAAAAAAAGCATAATAGAATAGGTCTCAAATTCATATTATTGTATTAGTGTATACTCCTTGCTGTAGAGAGAATAATGTATGATCTTTATAACCTTATATATTCTGTACATATTGCTAAAAGTTCTGAAATCATTTCTACAAAATATATGCTGTTAGTTGCCTATCCCCACCTCCCCTCCCCCCCCCCCCCCCACAAAAAAGTAAATGATTAATAGTGATAAGAATAAATTTCTGAAAATGTGATAGATGAAATAGGATTCATCACTTTTATAGACGACCCACAGTCGTTATGCACTCTCCGCTAGGTGTCTTGCTCATCTTCATAATTACAAATGGACATTATAAAAACACCTAATATGATCAGGAGGATGATAACATCACTTTTGCAATAACGAAAAGCTCTGGGCCAGAATACCAAATGAAACCGATAGAGAGCCTTGGTCATTAAGGGCCTCCTTTAATATGCTTCCCAAGGTACTCACAATCGAGTTGGCAGATAACTTGGGGAGTCATCCTTGCTCTTAATGATGTCATTGCAGAAGTTTGTGGTCTGGTAGAGCGCCAAGGTATCACCGACTTGGAAGATGGTAGCAATGCATTTGCCTAGAAGCTTGCGGGTCGGTGGGCCAGGAGACTGCGATATCTGGGCAGTCAATTGCTTGAGCAGCTTGGCCTGCGATTCCTTGATGTCAGACTGTAGTAGGAAACATGAAAGAAAGGAAGACAGGGGGAGAGAGGGAGAGAGAGGGAGAGAGAGAGGGAGAGAGAAAGAGAGAGAGAGAGGGATAGAGGAAGAAAGATGGGGAGAGAAATGGTGGGTGCAAGAGGAATGAAGAGAGAGAAAGAAAGATATAACGAGAGAGGGAGAGAGAGAGAGAGAGAAAGAGTGTGTGTGTGTGGGTGTGTGTTAGTAAAAGCAAGCAATCGAGGTGGAAAGATATGGAGAGGGTGAGGAAGTAAAAGAAGGCAAAAAAATATGAAGATACAGAAAGGGAGAGTGAGAATGCACAAGAGAGATATAGGGAGAGAGAGGAGGAAACAGAAAAGGGGAAGCGAGAGAGTGGGGGGATGGGAAGAAAAAGAGAGATTAAGTACACAGTATGCATGTAAGTTGATTATCAGGGATTGCTTGACCTATAATCAAATTACTTTCAATAAGGTTCCATCCAAATGACTTGTAATTGCACAGAAGGTCTGACTTTCAATATTTTTACTTGGGAGGGTTATTCAAAGGCAGAAGAACAGCTTCTAAATGCAACAAGAAACATGTGTGACAGTAAACAAATGATCTGCAAAAGTGAACAATATCAATAAATATAGATTGCAAGTGAAATAAGAGAGCAGTACGCTACCGTTGTGTGTAGTCCTATGTACAGAGCGACACATGCTGAGCTCACATTAGGCCAATTTCCTCTACTTCATAACACAATCATAATGCAGTATCTGTTGAACCACAAACTGTCATTTCTTTGGCAAGACATTACATGTATACTGTACATGTACATGTAGACAGGTAATAATTCTATTTGATGAATATTGGGGGATGGGGGGGGGGGTACAGGTAAATATTCATGAAATATAACGAAGGATATTCAGACTAAATACATGTATCAGAGAGCATAGTCACAAATATTTGAATTATTTATGGGTAAAGGAGGATTAGCAACATTTGCAAAATACAGGAAATCAATCATAACATGAAAACAACTAGAGATAGTAGTAGTAGAAGTAGTAGACTTTATTGGATAACTTGTTTAGCACAGGGCTAATATGCCACAAGGTCCAAGATATGGGAGTTTTTTTTTTATGTATAGTAATGGGCTTGCAGACTGTTTAGCTATACTCTTTCTTATTGTCATCTCTATTAAGATGCTTCCCAGAAAGAGATAAAACATCTTGTATTTCATTTTCAATCCATCATTTTCATGATAAGACCTTCAAAATGGCTGTATGTTGAGTATGTTCAGGTATAGCAGAGACACCTACAACATATTCTTCATCATGTTCAAGTTTTCACCTAAAATAATCACATGTTAGGCTCATTCAGATATGATGCAGCAAATTCGTGGACATTTTTGCTTTTGAAATCTAGAGTTCAGAATAAGTCACATCCGTTGGGACCGAAAAAAATAGTTTAACTTATGGAAAATTTGACATGTGAAATGTAAATAACATACATTTTTGGCATTGTTTGGTCCAAAACTTTATTTAACTTCGGGAATATTTGACTTGAGCGACTTTGAGTTTAATATGCAGAGTTGACTGTAGTTCCTCATTGTGCCACACTATTATAGAAAATCCTTTCCATCAACATTACCTTTAATAAATCACAACATGGAACTTTTCCATTTTCTTCCTCATCTATCACCAATCCACAATGTTCTCTCAAATCCCTTAACAACGCATTAGATGACATGAACATCTTGCTCACCATTCAGTGCAGGGAGTCAGGCACATTATCCCTGTTGAGCTAGAAAGTTCACTAAGCAATAGACATGTATGCATGCAGCCTTTTTGTTATTCAATTTAGAATCCAATTTAGTCGTCAGGCTGTAAATTTAATCAGCGAGTGTTTTGGCTTGGCCGTGTTGGGTATTACTGTCATTCTAAATGAATGTCAAAAAGTCAGACGAATCAACGAGTCTGAAGATTTAATTTGGGTAACGATGGCAAACAAAAGAACAATGTACATGTGGTCATCTGGAGATTTAGCCGTTTGTCTGATTTCTTTTTTTGATATCTTGTCTTAATGTCTTAGTTTTGTAAAACATTAAAAGACTGAAAATCCTGACTGCGTTGCATTGCATTGATTGCAGTAGAACATTTAGAACCAGTAATAGACTTTGATGAACAAATTTAATATAAAATATGTGAATCTAACGGCCACGCCACGCCGTCTTCTATTATGATGAAATAATAGAATCGAGCTCCGAGTGAAATCAGGTTTTTGTATTGGTCCGCTAGCTATATGACTTTCACTCGGGGGTGGGGTTAGTCTCAGATAGACCACTGTATCAGTGTATGATATTATATTATTAAAATATAAAATACAAAGAAACAAATCCAGAAATAAAGTGCTTGGACACGATTTGAATTACGATGTCACTTGGTAATTATTTAATTAATATGAATGACAAATCTCATCCATCAAATCAGAATAATAAAAATAATACAATTGATATATAAATGTTGCAATAAATATAATTGCAAAGTATTCTTAAGGGTTAAAGGGCGACTTAATTCTTACTTAATTAGTTACAGTCTAATGGGGAAGGGAAGGGATAGGTTAATGGAAATGAAGTTAGTAATTATGGCCACTTAGCTCGCTGATATTTCGATCGAGGACTTGACTTGGAACGGGATGCGACTGGGACGAACTTGGACGAGACTTGGAGGAACTTGACTTGGCGGGAACAGAGCGGGACAGGAAATGACAGGAATGAAGCTGGACTTGACTTGGTGACTTGACGGGTACGGGAACGGGAACTTGACTTGGACGAAACTGGAAGTTGACTTGGACGAAACTGGAAGTTGACTTGGACACTTTAATGGTTGTGTGAAAGTCCTTTAGCTTAAACGTTAAAGCTTTGTTTCAATTTAACTGTTGCTGCTTTCTGTCGATCATGAAATTCTCTCAACCTGATACTGTTGCTCTTTGCTAGAATATATCGTAGAAGGTCAACCAAAACTGTTGCTTCACTTCTCCAAAGTCCAAATCTTGAAGTATGTTCTATATTTGATCTTGGAGCACTGATGAGTTAGAGATGGGTTAGGAGGAGAAAGGTTCCGGGTGGGGACGTTCTAAGTGAGGGGGTTCCAAGAGAGGGGTTCAGCTAAGGTGGGGGGTTCCAAGTGAGGATTTCATGCAGGGGATGGGGGTTTTATACCTAATTACATATTCACAATCTCGATTCTGAGATCTCCTCCTACAAAATATTCTTACACTAAACTTCACTATTTCATTATAATTACAGTAGGTGACTGGGCGGGCATAACACTTGATGGACACTCAAACAGTGTTCCTGGACCATTAATCCTAACATTCTGATTGGGCGAAAGTAAACATAAGGGGAAGGAGTAGAAAAGACAAAGGCTCATTGGACAGTTTGGTATATCCCGGCTTCTACTTCCTGCGATGACTTAACTCCTTTTCCAAGAAAACAAATGCTTTGTCTTCCAGCCCAAACTGGTTTTCGCAGAGGCAGAAGGACAATTTATATGTTTGCTTATCATCAAAGATTGTCAACATTAACTTCCTCTCTCTGTGTTTCTAATCCTGGGGTAAATAAATCTAAGTCTTAACAGGGAGGTGTTTTAAAAGTTCTGGGAACACGGGATGAATCGGGGCTTTGTCTACTATAGGTCATGTAACTATTCTATGTGAACAGATTTAATCCTATCCTTTCCTTCATGTGAATGGACCTAAACTCCAATGAACTAAGGGGCATTCTCATTATCTACAAACACCCTATTCATGGAATATTTGGACAAGTGGAAATGACCAGGTTTCATCCTACTAATAGTTTGTTGACCTCCAGTAGAGAGGATGATGAAAATAGGAGAGAGAGAGAGAGAGAGAGAGAGAGGGGGGGGGGTATCTGGTTTAAAGGGAGATATCTCTACTTCGCTACATCTTCCCCTTGGCCACTTGAATGGCGACCTCGCCATTCCCAAAAATGGAATATAAAAAAAACACACCACAATTTATCTCAGGATTAATGAGTACAATTGTCTTTCCTAGAAACTTAGGGTTTACCAAATGACATCTAAAATACTACTACAACACTCAATTGATGCCTACTGCGCTCATATACAAGAAATGAAGGCAATAGCATATAACACAATTACAGACCAAAGTATCCTACATGTATGTACACAAGTCATGTCCTATTACATAACAACAGAGATTAAACTCCACCTTTACAAATCCATCTATAAAAAATGTCAGTGCAAACTTAAAATAAATCAAATGCATAGCTAGAATGCAAATAATTACACAAAATAATATCATGTCGGTATATCCTCAGATTCCCAAACAAAATGAAATCAAGCGATATTGTGTCAAAGCACAATATATCATAATACACATCATTTATGACTGTATCTATTAGTGCAAAGATACACATTGTATAATAAGAACTACATTTATTTTTACTATTTCTTCCCTACCAATCAACCAAATGTCTCAAATAAAAGTAACAAAACTAAAACATCTTAACCTTCACATAAAATTAAAGTGATAACCTCTTGGCACACACTATAATCTAAGTAAGTAACAACAACAACCCTTTTTCACCAAAAGCAGCACCACAATTCCACACAAAACAAAACGTCATTTTTTTTTTCTTTGATAGATAAGCTTATCCGGTGGGCGCAGGCATCTTTGTGACTGTCTCGGGGGACAGTCCTCCTCTTCGATTGAGGCGGCCTTTGCTGCTCACATGGACGGGTAGGGGATGGGTTAACATCGCCTTCCACTTCATCATCATTAACAAAACACAACATCAACAAAATTATCACCACACTCATCTTCATCATCTAGTTCAAGTTGCTAAATCATACCTAACATCGGGATCACGTCATCTATACTTATCATTTTTCTATGGGACAGTCCTTGCACTTACTTCGCAATCATCGTTATTTATAATAGGGCCTGAGTTAGATATCTCCAACCTTCCAAAAAAAATAAACAAA